GAAGCTAGAGCGACAGGCAAATCCTCAGTGCTTATCCTGCTCGACTTATCGGCTGCATTTGACTCTGTCAACCATGGCTTCCTTTTGTCCGCACTCTCTAGCATGGGCATCACAGAGAAAGCACACGGCTGGTTTGAATCGTACCTCACAGGACGATCATTCAGCGTATCTTGGCTTGGACAATCCTCTACCGTGCACCATCTTGCCACAGGAGTCCACCAGGGCTCTGTACTAGGACCTCTTCTCTTTGTCATATAGACCACCTCACTGGGTGAGATCATTCGATCACATGGCTTCTCCTACCACTGCTACGCAGATGACACCCAGCTCTATATGTCATTTCCACCGAACGACCACACTATCTCAGCACGAATAACAAATTGTCTCTGTGACATATCAAAATGGATGAAATCTCACCATCTCCAACTCAACCTCTCTAAAACTGAACTACTTGTCATCCCAGCAAAACCATCCATGCAGCACGATTTCTCAATCCAAAATGGCTTCCTATCTGTGGCTCCTTCAAAGGTAGTTCGAAATCTGGGTGTTGTGATTGATGAACACCTGACCTTTAAAGATCATGTTGCCTCTGTTGCTCGTTCATGCCGCTTTGCGCTGTATAACATACGAAAGATCAGACCATACCTAACACAACATGCCACCCAGCTCCTGGTGCAATCTGCTGTCATCTCCCGCCTAGATTACTGCAATGCCCTTCTAACTGGTCTTCCAGGCTGTACTGTGAGACCTCTTCAAATGGTCCAGAACGCAGCGGCGCGTCTGGTCTTCAATCAGCCAAAAAGAGCACACGTCACCCCTCTGTTCATTGAGCTCCACTGGCTACGGCTAGCAGCACGCATCAAATTCAAATTGCTAACACTAGCATACAAAGTCCGAGATGGTACGGCTCCCATCTACCTGAATCCTCTTGCAAAGGCTTACGTCTCGGCCCGGCCGCTCCGGTCATCACAGGATCGTCGGCTAGCAGTGCCTACACCACGCTCAGGACAGTCCAGACTCTTCTCATGTATCGTTCCAAAAATGTGGAATGAACTTCCAAGCACTATCAGAACAGGGGCTTCCTTTTCAATTTTCAAGAAACTCCTGAAGACCCTGCTCTTCAGAGAGCATCTTCTTAACTAGCACCCTCCCTGCGCCCATCCCCACTCTCTACTGTCCACTCCTTGTTCCCTACTCTCCATGACTGATGTCAATGTTGTTGTTGTTAGCCTCAAGAGCAACATGCCGATTATCACTTGTAAGTCGCTTTGGACAAAAGCGTCTGCTAAATACATAAACATAAACATTGCTTCATGATAATACTTTAGTCGAAGGTAAATGAAAGCTAAACCCAATGTAATCATCTGGAGAGGAAAGTGAACTAAATTTCAATTTGAGCTCAAAGTCCCTCAACATCCCTCTCTGCTGGGCTTCAGCTCTACCTTTAAAGTCGTTTTATGCAGATGATGCCACTCTTAAATGTTAAAACTAACGCCCGCATGCTCTTTAGATACGAGTTTTCTGTTTTCTACAAATCAGAACTGATTAATGCTAAATGTTATCTCAACACAAAATGATGAACTTTCACATCTGTACGATTGCTACATGTAACCAAAACTCCATTTTTTCATATTTTTATGAAGAAATTGTGTTTAATTCCTTCAGAAATTATTTGAGTAAGTATATGAAAAATATATAGTTTCAGTGTTGACACTTTCATGCTCACCTTTTTCTCCAGTGCCAATATAGTCCGTTAGCCTGCTGCTGATGTTGACGTAGAGCTGTGAAGCCCTGTAATGTTGATGTTGAGAGTGGAATTATGGTAAGAATGTGCAGCGACGTGCCGGAGCAGACCGTACTTGGCTGTTTTGTCTTGGTGGTGGTCTGAGGCTACTTAATAACAGTGCTTTGGGTCGGGAAAAAGAGCTGAGCTTCTGGATTGATTAAATATCCCCAAGTTCCAACATCTGGCAGCTCTAATTCATTACACTCATCCCCAGTGTGCTTAGCTCAAGCGTGTGATCAAGTGCTGCCTCTTGATAACACGTGGAGTGAAATACCACACAGAAGCCTCTTCTGTATCCCAACAGCTTGTTGTTGAGAGAAAAAGTTTTGCTTTTAGATAGATTATGATGGTAAACCTCAGAGTTTACTGAAGAAATGCGGACAGGTCTCATTAATGACTTTTTGGTTTAGAAAAAGAGATGTCTGTGGTCTTGAGAGCACTCATTGCTATTAGGGTTTACTCAGTTATAAGGTTTGGCAGCACAGTCAATATGTTAATAAAATATTTATAGAGTTTATAAAACGGGATTAGGGATTTTCTTTACTGTTCACGTATCTGTACTAGAAGGACTTTAGAGTGGTTGTCATGAGTTATTGAGCGAAGCTATAAATCAAAATGAATTTGGTAAAAGAAGGCAAAGGTTATCTAAACAAGCTCAAAAACGTTGCTGTCCTAAATAAGAACCACAAATATTTATTGCACTTTTCAAAAGAAGGGAGTGATATAAGACATGTATCTCAATTGGTATCCAGATCACAGTTTTATCATGATTAATGTCAAATTTGAGCGAATCTCATATATTTCCTATATTTTAAGTTACTGAAAAATGTTGCTAAATTATTTCCCTTAGCATAAAATAACTCTAAAATAAACTCTCAGGGTGAATAACATTTTTGAACAGAGTTTCATCAGTTTGTGCAAATTTGCAATGGATATTAAATAATATCCCTCCTGCATTGGCAATTTATCACCAGTTGAGGTTACAACTGTCAAGGTTTCAGGTTCAGTTAAATTTGGTCATGTTTCGTATTAGGTTGTTTTATGTTTTTGACTCTTTTTCGGGTTTAAGTCCCCGTGTCCCAGTTTGTGTCCCTTCAGCTCCCCCAACGTTTCTGCACCATGCACACCTGCACTTCATCATTTAATCAGCCAGCTGCTCCTCATCTCCAAAATCACTCTCCCAGCTTATTTAAGCCCTTGGTTTTGCTCTGGCCACTTGTTTGTCTTACTGTTGTTAGCATGGGCCTGTGTTTACTTCCCCTGTATTCTTAAGTGTTCTTGGATTTTGTCTCTGCCTCAGAGTTAGTTTGTTGCTGCCTTGTCTGCAACTAGCTTTAGACATTAGTGTGCAATTAACTGATGCATTAGAAGCATTAGACAGGGTATCTGCAGGTTTAAGGGAGCCAAATTTAAGACTTTTTAAGACCTTTTTTAGGCACTTTGACCAAATTTAAGCCATTTTTAAAAATTTAATTGAAACTATAATTTCCAGCTATTGCCTGGCTGGAACCGGTGCCAACCACGTCCCGAACTTGGGATCAACCAGTTATGATTAAACTTGCACTTCCCCATGGCGCAAGCTCCCACTAGCTTAACCAGCTAACATGCTCATCTAAAAATAACCCTTTCACAACCAACTGAATGTGTACGGTTCCACTTACGCCAACATCATACACAAAAAATGCTTAACACTAACTAGAAATTCACGAAAATTTTATCGAAATAAAATAATCTTGTTTATTGGGTCTTTGGTAATTTAAGACCTTTGGAAACGGTATTTAAGGATTATTTGTCATTTTTAAGGATTTTTAAGGTCTTAAATTTGGAAAAGCAAATTTAAGTCTTTAAGACTTTTTAAGGACCTGCGGATACCCTGATTAGAATTGTGCATATTTGCATAGTCTTAGCTTCATGCTAGCAAGTGCTAGTAATGCTAACATATTGCCAAAGGGAAAAATGAATAAATATATCACAGATGACATAACCACAGCAAAGTCATGTTAGAAGAAAATCTTAAAATATGCACCGCCCACCGCATTTACTATTTAAGATGAATGCAGCCTCCATGTGTGTCACACCTGAACGGGTCTGGGTGGAAACCATAACCTTAAACATGCTGCTCTGACTTTTGAAAGTCTTAGAAAATATTTTCAGATCTTTCTGTTTTGGAAGTTTCACATCTTCAAATCCTTCATGATCTAATGTCATCTTGCCCCCTCACCCCCACCATGTCTGCTCTTTTATTTCTGTGCTGATTTTCCTTTTGTGTAAGCAGCACAGATTTCCCTCTACAGCCAGTTAAGTGTTGCTCACTCATACGTTAAGATGATTTTTTATACTCAGAAAGGCATCCGCAGGTCAAAGGTTAAGAAGAGCAGGCTTTTCACTACAATACTTCTTTATTCATGCATTAGGGATGCCACAGTGAAACTAATGTGAAGTGAGATTTTTTGTGTATTTCTACATTCATATACCTTCACTGTGGGACAGAAAAGTTCAACAAGTCTGTGGTTTGCTGCAGACATGCTTCTGATGACCTGTGTATGCTCTCTAGCAACTTGCATCTTCTGAAGTTGTTTTGATATATCTTGGGAGCTTCTGTGTGCTCCATCTTCATGTTTTTATTTTGTCATTTGAGTGAAAAGTTGCCCTTTCAGCAGTTTTTCTCTCAGTGGTTGAATTTACTGCATATCCTTCAATAGGACTGCATGTGCTTTGGCTCAAAATGTCCAAACACGATGATGCACAGTATGTCAACTCAAGTGTGTCGCGTTAACAGATCATTGATTTGTGTATGCTGTATCAACAGAATTATGCAGAGATGTGATTATGCTCTGGCGCTAACAGACGACTCGGGAGCTAAAAAAGGGGAATGACACGTGCAGACTCACTGGTGTTATGCCTGTTTTCATCAAAACCAGCACACTGTTATTGAGTTGTTGTAACCGTAGTCGATGCAGACTCTGCATGAGATCCAGCCACAAGCATCCCTTAGTTACATAACAGTGTTTTTATGAAGGCATCGACTTTCACGTGTCTGTGTCAGATTCTGATGGCCACACAGACAAACGATGAAATCTGGCTCCTAAATGCTGAAAGGATTAGCCAGGGAGAGTCTGTCATCCGGTTAAACTCAAACAGGAGAATCTGGATCTGTTTCAGCGCATTTGTGGGATTCTGAAATAAATAAAATATGCTCGGAGATGAACAGGGCTTAGAGAGTGCCAGATTTTGGACAGTTTATTATTCAGGCAGCAAAGAAGGGATCTTCATTTACCTGTTGATGAAAAACGATACAAAAAGCAGCTCAAAGTTGACTACAATGATGGATTACAGCGAGGAAATCCAAAAACCGAATTTAATCCAAGGTGTTTTTAAACCACTGAGTAGGTTGCCATTACATTATATACATTTACGGCAAACGATTATCATATTCTGATCTTACAGTGGCTGGACAGTGGAAATGACTCTAATCAGGAACAATTTTAGAAAGAAGAATCTCAAATGACTGACTACCTGATGTAGCAAAAATGTGCTTGTTCGAAGCTCTCAAATCAAATCAAATCAAATCAAACTTTATTTATACAGCACTTAATCATACAATGAATGCAACTCCAAGTGCTTAACAAATTAAAAACCATTCCCTGCATAACCACATTCCCTCCCATTCCCAGAATTTAAAAACAGACTGACAACAAAAACCCCTTCACAACTCTCATCCGCCGGCGCACACACACATGCACACACACACACGCCCCATATGATGGATAAAAGTCAGCTCAGAGTCAGAGATGACACCCAGGTTCTTCACTTGTAAAGATGGATTAAGAGACATCGTAGTTTTGGTAAAAGCTTCTCTCTCTGGGCCTCAGGGCAGATAACTAAAACTTCAGTTTTGTCCTGGTTGAGCTGGAGAAAGTTTTCTGCCATCCAGGATTTGATGTCAAAAATGCAATTAAAAAGTGTGTCCATTGGCCGTGTGTCATCAGGAGATACAGAGATGTACAGCTGTGTATCATCAGCGTAGATGGAAATTCACCCCGTGTCTCCTGATGACCCCGCCAAGAGGGAGCATATAAAGGTTAAAAAGCAACGGGCCTAAAATTGAACCTTGGGGCACACCACATGTAATCTCATGAACCTAGAGGAACAGTTATCCAAACTCACCATAAAAGTCCTGTCTGTGAGGTAGGAAGTGAACCATCGGTGAACAGCACCAGAGAGACCGATCCGTTTCAAACGAGTTAAAAGAATAGTGTGGTCTACTGTATCAAAAGCAGCACTTAGATCCAGAAGAACCAACACCGTCACATTCCGTTTATCATAATTTACTCCAAAATCATTTAAAATCTTCAGAAGGGCGGTCTCGGTGCTGTGGTTCACCCTAAAACCAGACTGAAATTTTTCGAGGACATTATGAGTGTTGATAAAGTCATTAAATTGAATTAAAACAAGCTTTTCTAAAATTTGCTTAAAAATGATAAGTTGGATATTGGTCGACAATTGTTTAAATCATTAAAATCTAAATTGTTCTTCTTCAGCAGGGGCCTCACCACCCCCCGTTTAAAAGCGGCTGGAAAGACCCCCGTCTGAAGGGAGCAATTCATCATAGTTAAAAGCTCATCTCTAAAAGAATCATAAAATTGTTTAAAAAATCTAGTGGGAATAGGGTCCAGGGCACATGTGGTGGGTGTCACTGAGGAGAAACTTTATCAAGATTCTCAGCTTCAACCAGAATAAAACTGTCCGGTGTTTCCTCAGGTAGACTCTCAGATGTGTCTAAAACCACGTGACGTTGAGAGGATAAAATGTTACATCTGATGGTGTCTACCTTCCCTCTGAAGTGGGCTGCAAACTCCTCACAGAGAGTGTTCGAGGGGTTTTTCTGAGTTGAGTTTTGGTTGGAGTTGAAAATATTATTGATTGTGGAGAAAATTATTTTAGGGTTATTTTTATTGTCTGAGAGGATTTTGGGAAAATATGCATTTCTTGAATTTCTTACGGCTTATTGTATGGTTTAAGTAGTTCTGAATATGTCTGATTTATTTTTAATTTGCTTTTCCTCCAGCTCCTCTCCGCCACTCTGCAGTTTCTCTTTAGTTTCCTTAGTTTTTCATTTCTCCAAGGTGATGTAGGATTTGACTGTAAGTTTTTTGTTTTGAGTGGAGCAAGCAAGTTAAGAGCTGACTCAAGTCTTCTGTTAAAATCATTGATAATGGCATCACAGGAGGCGGAGACGTTAGTTGGAGGGATGTTGTTAAAAGCTTAAAGAAAACCAGCAGCCACTTCAGGGGTTAGATGACGCCTCCTTACAGTTCTCACAGAGGGCCCGCACTGGATAACGCTGGTGATGTTAAAAAATACGCATTAGTGATCGGACACTGCCAAGTCAACAACAGAGGACACACCAGTGGACAGGCCATACGTGATGACCAGGTCCAGGATGTGTCCTCTGTTGTGAGTTGGCTGCGTGACATGTTGGGTAAAATCCATATAATTCAAGATGTTTAAAAAAATCTGTGGCTAAAGGGTCTAAAAGGTTATCCACGTGCAGATTAAAATCTCCAGCTAAAATAATCCTATCAAAGGAGTTGTGTAAAATTGATCAAAACTGTGAAAACTCTTGAATAAAAGGTGCACTCTGTTTGGGAAGTCTGTAAACAGCGACACATAAAATCTGAGGAATGCTAAAAGCAGCTGCAGTGTATTCAAAAGTGCTAAAATGATTAAATAAGAGGTTTTGCTCTGTGAGTAGATTTATTTTTTTATGGATGACAATCTTCATAACCAGGCAGAGAAGCCGTGTTTTTCCTTCACCACCCAGATGCTGTCAATCACTTTCCCATGCTGGAAAATACAGAGAGGTCTTTGTCATTGTTAGAGGAAAATCTAGAAGTCCTCGTGCTTTTGGAGCATATTAATGAGGAGTTACCAGCAGCAGACAGCAGTCAGAACAATTTCAAATCAGAGAATCAGGCTAAAATTCTCATGGGGGTTGTAGAGTTTTGCAGTGTCACTTCACATGAATCCATTTTACTTTTTCAACTTGGTTAAAATCTCACCAGTCATCATCACACGCTGGTGAAATGACATCTCCACATCTGACCCATGCAAAATACAAGCTTGCTTGTCTAGGGGAATCCCACAATGCATTGCAACGTTACATCACAATCTCTTTTAGCTACTATAGAATATGCTATTATCTACATTATTTCTTAAAATGAAGAAAAAAAAATCTGGTAATTTTCATACTTTTTGTGGTTGCTCCGTAGCAAAATTCCAGCTTCTTCCAGTGTCACCCAGTAGTCTGTGCATTCTAGTATATGTGGAGATGCAATTCTATTGGTCAACGCTTTAAACTTGTGTAAACGAACCGTAATGTCGTCGAGGCCGTGGGAGGGACTTTGGGGATGTATAATTTCTGAAAGGTTTCCTTCTTTACATGATAGAACAGGGACGGATGGTCAAAGTTAAGCTTTGTCTCATTAGTCACCACTGGTGAAATTCATCTCCACAGTTGACCCATCCTCATGCGGTGAGCTGCAGCAGCGGCTGTGCTCGGGAACCTTTTGGTGGTTTAAGTGACTTAAAATATTTTTAATTATGTACCCTAGCTTTGAGAGGTTATTTTCCTATTGGACATGTCCTGCAAATATAAGGAGTTCAAATCAGGATCACTCTGGTTGCTGTTTACTGCAGGTAAGAGGGCAACTAATAACGAAGTACAGCATAAAACCTCAGTTAACCCCCAGAGACCCACGGTTGTAATATTACAACATCAGATTTAAGTCTACAAAAATAAACCTTCCCCATTTTTTTCTTTTTAAAACCACATTTACATTGCTAATAGGTCCTATTGTTCAGTTCTGCAACACTATTGGCTGTTAAAATGTGTAAACAGGCCCGTTTATCTGGCCTCCTAGAATAACATGTGAAAGGTTAAAAAAGATTTTGCAGTTGTTTTCTAAATTTGGGTCTCTGGGGGTTAAACAAAAATATTTGAGCTATTCATTTAAGACACATTCTTTCACTTCTGCTTAAAAGCATGAGCTCACCTGGTCATCGGACACCTGCTCCATGTAAAGGTGGGTGGAGTTTACCACTTGCATGCGACTGTAGCCGTAGTCGGTGCTGCGGAAGGCGCTCCACTCTTTAGGGTTTGGATTGAACCTGTCCGTCCTCTCCCTGCAGCCCTGTGGAAGACTCAAGAGTGATTAAATTTTTCTTTTACAGTCAAAAAGACAAGTTTATTCCAGAATCCCTCTCAGAAGCTGGGTTGGACTCTGCAGCTGTGCCTAAATGTGAATCTGGCTGCAATCTGATGTGCTGATGACTAATCCCGCTGTGGCTGGATGACAAAGCGTGCCCTCCGCCGCTTGCCACCACATCAGAAAAAACACTTACCCAGAGGAACAGCTGGTTTTAAACTTATGTGGTAGTGCAGCAGCTGCACATGCAGAACTGTGTACAATACATGACACTATTCTTTTGTTGATGAATGCATTGATCTGTGTGGAGAAATATTCAGGGATGCAGCGACATGGAAGTGCTTACAGCAGAGCCAGATATTATGTGCACTGGGGCCTTAGGGTTAACGTAGGGCTGCTCTGCGCTCCCATTGCGCACCTGCAAAGAGAAAAGGAAAGTGACCTTGGATCACAAATACACAGATGGAAGCTACAAAAAGTTGGAGATCTACAGTTCCATGAGCTGACCTTGTCACCATAGACGGGCCAAAGTCTCTCATATGTGTGCTCGTGTGCCCACAGCTCCACATCCACCCCTATAAAAGACATTCATCAGCCAAATTTTGAGATTTCTAAGCGCTCAAAGGCATACACCAAGATTTCCCCCACCATAGCGGTAAAATAATTCTTCAAGACCAGGAGCAGGTGGTTTGATGTCTTTCCGTCCAAGTCGGACCTGGAAAATGACAACATAAAAGTATTTAAAGTGTGAAAGTGCTACATTGCCTGCTACGGAAAACACTTTCTGGTAGAGCGTGACGTCGCTCATGCCAGCTTCACTGCAAATGGAGCTGAGAGAGGCAAGTCAAAGTGGAAACTATTTGGTGAAAACGGTATGAGAGCATGCCGTACTCGGTGTGCTTATGGGCAATGAAGTGGCTCGGTCGGTCTGCAGAATGCATCAGCTACTTGGAGCGACCAAAGTGTCAAACGGCACATCAAAACAAAGACTTGTGATACAGTTGAAGAATATGAAAATCTATCTTTGTGTGTAGTAAAGCTTTGTGTCACTGTTGTGATGCGCGCACCCAAGAATCAAACTTTGTACAGTCGTCCTGGTCATCATCAGAGCAGTACATGGGTCTGTGTCCCATGGTGATGATCCATGGACGCCGTGCCCGGTTTTCAGGTTTGTTGGCTTTCTAAGTGAGGGATCCCAGATCAGGCGATAAAATGAAAACAGACAAATATAAGCACATCTTTTTATTAGTAACAGAAGAAATGAGCATCAGTAGAGACAATGAATAAAAAGATAAGTGTCCCAAACAGAAAGAGATAGTCATTAACCTCCAGATCAGCCTTCAGCCACTCGTACTGCTTAAAGAGAAGGTCCATGCCATATTCGAGATAGAAGTAAACTTCTGTGGAGAAGGAGACGATGTGCGCTGACCCCAGATTCCAGCTGCAGACACATATCGTTAAAATGACACACGGCTTTGACAAGTAGCATTTCCCGATAAGGAACTCCTGGCCTCAGTTTAAACTCCAAAGTGTGGAAAAACACAACAATGTCCAGATTTTGTCACTAGCACGCTGCTGCCTAAATGGATTTAAGTCTGGATTTAATCAAAGGCTTTTCTGGTCTAGAACTGGCCTCATGTTAATGCTGCAGAATGAATGAAAAAGTACAGTTGGTGAGCTGCAAGGGTGCCAAAGTGTGTTATAGGCTGAACACTTTCCAGTAGCGCTCCTTTTTGGAGTTCCTCTGCTTCCTTAGCGTGCCGAAGAGTGAGGGACTCTTAAGCCAGAAGCTTGTCTGCATTTTAGGCCCAGGGAGAGAAAGCCTGTGGTCTAGCGGGGTATTATCTTTCTGTCTGAGAGATGGAGGTCTGCAGAGGGCAGTGAGTCATCGACTCAGATGTATAGCTCCTTTGTGTAGTCTGTGCTCCAAAGATAGAGGCAAGCTTCACACTCCTCTGCTGACGCTCTCTGAAATGCTCCAGGAGCTTTGGCACCTTTTAGGAAATTCTCATCTGCTTCCACTGATTCACTGATTTTCAGCTACTTCAGCGTGTCTCAACTAAATCTGCTTCTTACCTGTACCACAGGCTCTCGGTTTGGCCGGGCATGCTGAAGCGATTCCTGTAGTTTGAGAAGTTGCTGCAGACGAAAAAAAATCATATAGTGAGAAATACAATTAGAAAAACTGATCATGCAATCAAAATTCCTTGAATATGTAATAAACATCAATTTGCACCACAAACTGCTGCTTTCTCTTAGCTTGTGGCGAATACACCAGAGCTAGACAGAAAGGAGAAAAGCTACAATACACCCAAAGGACACTTATGGTAATTCCAAGCTTTCTCTAAAAGATAATGAGTCAGCGGTCCTTAAAATAACCATCAGCTCTCCTTTGTTTGCTTTGAACCTTTTTCAGCTTTCTGGAAAATTCAAAACAGTCGATCTGGAGACAAAAACAAGCTGCAGTGGTAGGATCTGCTACAGTCTTCACAGAAACATCATAAAAACTTTGATCTCTTAAAAAAGTACATACATGCTGATTTCTACAGGATGCTGGTGACTGTTTCCTGATTAAAGGCTGCACATAAACATGGATATAGCCTCCATGACATCAGCCCATAGGTCTGAATCATGGTCACTCACTGGAGCCAAATAATCAAAATTTGGGCAACACTGGGGAGTCTGGGTGGAGATGAGGTTGGATAAGAAAGGAGCTTTTCCTGGTCAATTTAGGATTTTAGCCTCTAAATACACCCCTCTTAAAACCATAATGTCTTGTTAAAGAGGACAGTAACTTTAGTCCGTATTAGGGAAATCACATTTTCAATTTTTAGCCTTTATTTGGTCCAAATATAGTAGAACCCTCTGGTCACTGCTCGCTTTCCTGCAGCAGACCACATTATGCCCGAACAGCCCTCAAAAGAGAGGCTGCAAAGTGGAAAAAAGAAATGGCGTTCCAGGGAACGTTCTCTCCTTTCACGGTTTTTACTTTCAGCATAAACGCAAGAGTCGACGGGCCATTAACCCGCCGAGGTGATTAGAGTAATTGTTTTCTTATCTTACATAAGTGGTGGAAAAATATAAGGTAATATCCTCGACAGCAGCCGCTGAAAGGGTGGGACAGTTCAGCTCCCTGTGAGGGTTAGCAGGTTTAAGGTGAGAGGAGGTTAACTGGGCTATAGGTCAGAAAAGGCTGACGCTGAGGTGCAGAGCTAAATGAAAGTGTCCCGTTTAGATTGTTCAGAAGTTCAGATTTATCTTATTTCTATATTAAGGTGCTGATCAGAGCAGTAAGTCTTCAATTTACACTTAAGTTTCAAACCTTACTAAACAAATATCAGACTTTAATCGGGAAAATAAAGAAACTAAACGAATGAGATGCGCTTTGAAGCCAGACTGTCAAATCTAAATCTGGAAAAGGTCACAACCCTGGTCCATACTCCCATCTGGTGGTTGGGAACAGTAACAGCGATCGTTTGGAAGAACCTGAGTACAATTTGTTTAGGTAGTAGGAATAAATATCAGTATTTTATTAGTGGATTAGTACAGACACTCAGTAGGAGTCCAGGAAAGATGTGACAGAACGTACCAAACGGAATGGATCAACCAAGCATTTAAATAGCAAAACAGGAAAATCTGACTGGAAACAAATCTGATTGGTATATATTTATATTGTTAATCAGAATGAAGGGAGTTGAGGGTAACATGAGTCATGTTTTCTAACCCCAAAATCTTCTTGTTTCCATATGTTTGATCTTCTTTAAAAAAATAAGGACGAGATGAAATTTAGTGTCTGGCACAGTTTGAGCCAAAGATTTTCTTTCCTCAACACATCTTGCCTTTCGTCATCCGATGAGATAAATCTGGCTCGGGAAGATGCACCAAAGCAGAGCAGTTAGCAGTAATCATATCACTGGATATTGTTTCAAATGGTGACCATTATTTCCCATTCCCACTAAAGAATGGATGAACTGTGCTAAGTGAACAAAAGCAGGTCTTGATTGGAGGCTTAGCATCTTCCCGGGACTTGATGTTCTCATCCCGCTGGAAAGCTGAATAAAAAAAAACGTTGTGGATTGCTCGAATGCTTTTTCACCCATTTGGTTTTGAGGTTGGAAATATAGAGGAGTGAAGAGGTAGAGTGAAAGAGAGCACAGCAAAACAATCACCAGTCACCAGCAGCTGGGAATATTTGGATTCTGAGCACCACCACAGAACAAAACAGACATTTAGGTACTGAGGGAGGCAAGAGGAGCTGCTTTTCTGGTTGTGCAATGCAGCGGGGAGATTGTTGATATCAGGTTCTGATGTCAGGATGCAACGCCAAGAAAAAGAGACTACTGTTAGCAGCTCCTTAATAAACCCCAGACTGTAGACACATTACGTACGGTAAGGCGGACTAAAGAAGTGTCCTGATAGCGGCGAGTAAATATTATTGTGCAGGAAACGATTCCTCAGTTTGCAAGAGAAACATGACTGATTCTGGTCAAAATATAGGAATCAATCAGCTGATAACATAAAGGATAGAATAGTTTTAATCTACAGAAGGGAAGATTAACTTTAAAAAAGGTTCATCATTGGTCAATCTAGAGCTGGACGACAGAAAAAACTCTGTGATAACATTTTTCATTTTGCATATAAAAAAATTACAATTTTTTTTTTGGTTTTCGGGCATTAGTAGCTCAGGAGGTAGAGTAGATTGTCCAGTAATCGGTAGACTGTAGTTTTGATCCTGGCTCCCGCCAGAGAACGCTGCTGATGTGTCCTTGGGCAAGACACTTTACCTGCCTGCCTGCTGGTGGTGATTGGAGGGCCGGTGCCGGCACTGTTCGGCAGGCTCGCTTTCGTCAGTGCACCCCAGGGCAGCTGTGGCTACATCATAGCTCATCATCACCAGTGTGTGAATGACTGACTGACTGTGTTGTGAAGCGCCTTGGGGGGTTGTAGACCCCTAAGAAGGCACTATACAAATACAGGCTATTTACCACTTATTTTAATGTTACCATTCCATTACAGTGGCAATCCAAAGTTTTCCCCTTTTGAAGAATCACTGGTGATTTTTTTTTTTTTTTTAGAAATCTGTTAGTCATAGTCTGACCCTTTTCTGTGATATAAGGCAATACGTGAACTTTTGGTGCCTGCCCATGGTCAAGCTGCAGACAAACTTTTATTGTAACAAGCTCATTCAATAGCGAGAAACCCACGTATTTCTTCTATTTAACGAAAAACCATAGAAAACTGGACACCATAGAAAACTGGACAAACATAAAGGACCTAAAAACTTACAGTGACTGTGTGTATTTTCCCCGGCGATAGGGGGCAGTATATACCTAAATCACTGGAAGCAAGTGGTATTTTCGAGTTTGAGTAAGACTTTACTCAATTCAATTCAAAAATACTTTATTAATCCCAGAGGGAAAATGATTGCTGTAATAGCTCAGAATAATAATAATAACCAAGTCATCAAAGAGTTATTGTATATTACAACGGCTGTTGGTAGGAAGGATCAGTAGCGGTCAGTGTTGCAGTGAAACTGAAGAAGCCTCTGACTGAAGACACTCTTCCGTTGTCGGACAGTCTTGTGAAGAGAATGCTCAGGGTTGTCCATAATTTTCTTGATTCTCTGGAGAATCCTTCTTTGCATTATCTCCTCCAGCGGTTCCGAAAATGCCGAAACTCTGGCTGAGTCCTTGAAAGGGCTTGGAGTTCCTCCATCTTGTTGGCCAATGATCTCACATTGCCCATTATGATCGATGGAAGAGATGGTTTGAATTTCCTCTTTCTCTGTCTCCGTTTTGCTCCCGCTCTGCACCCACTCTTCTTGCGTTTTAGCTCGTTTGGGATTTGTGGCTTCAGTTGAGGTATTATTTCAGCCTTTCCAATGTTAATCAGCTGCTCCCCATTGTAAACCAGCTTGTTGCCATGGTTACACATCATAACAAATGCTCAAAAAGTGAAAAAAGCTATAAAATAGCAGTAAAAATCCTCCCAGCTTCACAGCACCAGAAACAGAAAAGTAAAGTGTCCAAAAAAAATACAGTTTTTCTTGAGAAACTAGAAGAAAAAATGCCCAAAAAAGGCTAAACTTACATATGGTCAACAGAGCTACTCCAACATGCAGCCACCCAGAGCAGCGCAGTTCCGGAAACGTACAGATAGCCATTAGGGTCAAAAATCCCTGGGAGCGCAATTTTCGAAATAGTGCTTCGTCAGATCATTCAACCTCCAACAAAATGACAAGCACATCAGACTCCCTTTCATCACTGGCAACGAGTGAAGAGGTAAATGTGTAAAACAACGTTTATGAATGGTGAAAGTTTTGTTACCAATCAGGAAATGCATTTTGTCCTCACGGGCTCACGTAGAAGGAAACACTGCGTCTAATATGGCGTTGCCCAGAGACTTCGACCCGCTCCCATGTATTTTAGACCTGATTTTTATGGTTAAATGTTACAAAGCCACAACATTTTTTAACATCTTGTTATCTTTTAATTAATTTTCAACAACATTCCTAACGATGCTTTCAGAGATTAATGGTAAAAACTACACACTGACTCTTTAAAGTACTAAAGATGGAGATGTCCTGTCTTTATTCAGACCTAAACACATCTAACATAACCAGAAATGGAGAGCTAAAATGAACCCACAGATCCAACCATTCCAAGCTGATTCTGGAAACTAAAACTCACAGAATGAGCAGATGATTAATCCGAGTCAGATAAATGTTTGTTTTGGAAAGTGATGCCTTGTTTAGATGTTGGTGGTCGCTTCAGCATCTGCTGAAGTAGAGTGAAGGTTTTACCTCAGAATAAAATGTGCTCTGACTGGAACCAAACAATGTAAACCAACCTCACTGATAAATAACAGCATGCAACTACGTTTTTGCTTTAAATAAGACAGTCATGGGATATGTTGCAAATATAAAGAAGATTGAAAGTAGCTCTAAACGTAGACTACAAGAGAAGACACTTCGAGTGGATCCGTAATGTTAAGAATAAAAGAACCTACTATGCAGCTTCATGGTTGCCTGGACAGGTCATGTAGGGAACGTAGGCTGCTATGGACTCAATCTGTCTCATAAACTCGTCTCCAATTCTGGCATTATCCTGAAATGATGTAAATCAATCATTAAGCATGATGGCCAAAATGGGCCTGTCAGAAAGAAAACACTTAGAGCAAAACAACAACAAAGGGGGTTGTGGGTAGATTTTTATGGTCAATGGCAATTATGCCCCAAACGGCATGAAGAGAAAGCATGACTCTGCAGAACGCACTAGACGGCATACTACGATCTCAGTTCACTTTACCAAAGATCTTCATCCTTCTAGCATAGTAATCTTGACAACCCATAGCAGTAGGAAAGATTTCGCTCCCCAGGTTGGCCTAGCCACTCGACTGTAGCCTCAGCAGGTCCATCATTGGCTCACCTTATCACAGCTGTCTCTGCTTGTGGAGAGATGTTGCACCGTTATGGCAGAGTTTTCTTTTATAATGATGGCAGAGCTGCTACGGAGCAAAACAACTATGATGGCGGTGGCTCAGGTACGAAGCTCAATAGAAACGGCTTTGGCATCAACTTTGGACGCTTTTGACCCCGGCTTCTTTTAGACAGAGGCCCTTACGCCCTTTACTCAGATTTATTAATTACCACTATTTCCATCGCTAAAAATACGTTACATTGCTTGTTGCTCTGATTATTTCTAACGCTGTCCGATTGCCTGCAGAGACAACGTGAAAGACAACAGCGATTCTGCCTCTTGACTGAGCTTTATCTATAGGATGTAGGCACAATGTAATATTTACATCTATAGGATGGCTTACCACGCTTTCATGCTTATGAAGTTTGAAACGTTTCACAAATTTGTATTTTGATCAACGTTCTTGAAAGAGCAATGCTTTTGTAACCAAAGTGTTTTGCTTTTGAACAACCTAAAATTTCCAGAGCTCACATTTTAAAGGCTGTGCCAACATCTGGGTGTGCAGTGTGTGCAGGTGGCACATGCGCTGCTTAGTGGTGATTACAACTAAACAATGTAAATTAAAAAACCCAATTTCTTGTCACTGCTTTAGAAACAACCGACTACTGTAAAAATTTTCAGGCTTATGCCTTTTTACCCTTATTGAATCCTTTTACTTTGTGTGCCAATTTTTAGACATCCCCATCAGATGCATGAGGTAGTAGCCATCAAAGTTGTGGAAGTGTGTTTTTAGAAGGTATTTGAATAAACTAATTAATCTTTATTTTTTCTTTATTACACTGTTTTGGTGAAATTTTGAGGGCTGGAATAAAAACACCAGTTTGAAGAACCCCACAGGCCTTTTGTTATGATTGAAATAATTCAGTTAAATCTTTACATCTGATTCTATAAGCTTATATTTTGTGTTTTAGAGGGACTTTGGAACACCTCTCCAGGCACTACTGATGATAAATGGCCTTTTTGCTGAAACTCTACCACATTTAGATCTAATGAGGTACACTGTCCCAGTTAAATAAACTAAAAAGTTGAATTTACGTTTAATATTTCTCCATTTACCAATTTTCAGACAAATAAATGAAAAAATTATAGCAAATCTACTTTCCAGACTTCTTTGAAACATACCACCAGGATACAAATAAACCACAATTAAACCAGGCTGTCTTGGATTTCCTAAAACTGTGTGGCGTGCCTTTAGAAACCTGGTGTGGCTTATTGCTTTTACCTGCACCCACCAGACTAACCCCCCCTCTGTTATTCTTTCTAAAATATCAGTGAAACCACAGAATACACTCGGACATTCCAACTGGAAACGTAACTTGACTGAATTACGGTTATTAATTTTGTGAAGGGGTCTGCTGGCTCTATTTATCCTTCTCTCTGTGTTTAAATAAAAACATTAGTAATGCAGGAAATCTTTTTAGGGAAAGTGATATTAGCATTTAGTACGAAGTTATGTCTGCTAAATATCAAAGATGACAGCTGGGAGGATTTCATATGAGCAAACGTGTTATTGGGACGTGAAAATCTGGTTTTGAAAAAGCACCACTTGGGCGACGTGACCTTGCTTCTCATCTTTCACCAAATGCTTAAGACACCTCTCAGTAACGTCGATGTCTCGACCACAGTGGAGCGGTTGTATAATAAACAGCGGTTAACACTGGGAGAGGGCGGTGGAGGAAATTGGAGCAGCTTATCTCATCTGTCACGGTGGACTTAAGAGGGCCTAACATGTTCATGAAAGAAAGCTGGTGGCATAAATCTTGTTATATGAGATTATTTGGTAAAGAATATGAAAGAAAAGGTAAATTACCTCGTCCATATCGTAGGCAAAGTCCCCTGTAAAGGAGAAACATCCGCAGATTAGAACAGATCTTCTGACGGGTTTTACAATAATCCCCAACATCAGTTCAGTTTTTCATGTCCTGAAGACGATTTTTAAAGGTTGAACTAAAAAATAAAAACATAAATGTTGCAGTTTTACACCATTTTGTCTAAAGAGTAGAAAGAGTTTTTTTATGGCAAGTTTTAACATTTGAATCAAAACCTTTTTTAGTGTGTTCACATTCAGCATTTATGAATGTTTAATCTGAGTGTTTTGAATATTTTAAGTATATCTGTGTTGTTTTCTTGTTGTTTACTGTTTTTTTTCTGTTATCCTTTTTGCTCCTATGAATGTAATTGCTGCTAATTTCCCCACTGAGGGGCAATAAAACATTTTTATTCTATTATATAAACTGCAGCCAAGAAGCGTTACATTTACCAGGCAGATTAATGATTCTTCGGTTATTCTCAATAAAGTTGATCCAATTCAATCAGTATGCCGGTTCACTTTTCTGAACTTTGTCCCGGTGCAGCACCTGTACTTTATAACCCAAACATCTGACGCCCTGCATGATTTTACTTCATGTTTAAAGCGTAACTAAAGAGTGGACATGTTGCTTCAATGGGTTCGTCATCAAAGCCAAAAACTATCTCCTCCTAAATGAAAAAGAACAAGTTTTCACACATTTACCAACATCAAACACTTGTATTCTGTTTAGATTCAAAAATGAATACATCTATGCTTGTTAATTACCGTGTTTCCAAAATATCTCTAATTTCCCTCTGGGATTAATAAAGTATCTTTGAATTGAATATAATGTATGATAAATGACCCGCATTTGTAAAGCGCCTCTCAGAGTAAGGACTCCAAAGCGCTTTACACTACAGTGATCCATTCACTAACCCACATTCACACACTGATGGTGATGAGCTACAATGTAGCCACAGCTGCCCTGGGGCGCACTGACAGAGGTGAGGCTGCCGAGCACAGGCACCACCGGTCCCTCCGACCACCAGCAGGCAAGGTGGGTTAAGTGTCTTGCCCAAGGACACAACAGCAGAATTCTCTGTCCGGAGCCGGGATCGAACCTGCAACCTTCCGATTACTGGACAACCCACTCAACCTGTTGAGCTACTGCTGCTGTCAAACATTTCTTTGGATGTGAGCTAGCTTACTGACTAATGCAAGCATGATCTGTTGTGAGCCGTGCCAGCCATCTGTGCACGACTGATGCCTTGGGATTCTTGTAATTTAACCTATCGACCTTTTAACTGCTTTTTGAGTGCATGATGATAATATTTATATCCACGTTAAGGTTACCTATGTGCAGGATGGCGTCATACATGCCAAGCTGAGTCTCCTTTTGCAGTCGAGCCAGAGACTGAGGGTTCTCGTTGCCCAGATCCCCGTACAGAGCAAACCTGGGGCTGAAACTTAAGCTGTCGTTCAGAGCAGTGAAGGAGAATACGTCGCTCCATCCGTCGTCGCTGCCGCAGTGGTAGACTTATAGAACAATGAGTTGTGTGTTAGAATAAAAAAAAAGGCTATTTGAAAGCAAATGGCACAACAGCACCACCCACCGTACGCAGCAGCAGGTTTGAGCTCTGTGAGTGTTACTCTGTGGATGAACATCTGCCTCTTCTCCTCTCCTGAGTCCACAAACAGAGTGGCGTCACCTTTGGTACTCATGTCAAAAAGACGACCTCCAAAGAAACCGTACTCCACCCTGCTCTCAGTCTTATTAAGGGTTGTCCAGGTCACCACCATGGAGCCCGGTACGCCTGGGTAGAAAACCCCAAAACTAACTTCACAACTTTCATAACTGTATCACATGAAGCACAGGTTTTAAATAAGGTCATAACTTATTTGTGGCGTTATGGAAAATCTCTGCATCAATAATCATTACTGAACCAATTTGACGGAGCTTTTTCAGACTCCGCATAAGTAAAGGGACGCTTTAGTCTTAAATCTAAACACAACAAACCCTTACCCACATAGGAGAGGTGCACTTGTTCTGGCTGGGTCCACATAGGAGGCACGCCAAGCACCAACCAGGGTGCAAGGGATAGAAACATAATGGCAGGCAGCATTTAAACCCTCGGCTGTAAAAAAAAAAAAAAAAAAAAAAAAAAGGTCACAACTTCAATTAAAACATGAATAAATCTAAATAATTCAGATCCCAAATGGGGATTCAGAAACACAACAACTGAGCTGACCTCAGGGAAAGACTTTGCTGAGTTACAGGAAAACAGAAACCCAGATGTGTGTTTTATCCTCTGGTGAGCAAATCAGTAAGCTCTAATAAAAAAAATCTGAACAACATAATCAGCAGCAGCTCTCAGAGCAGATGATGTGCGTTCCAAATCAGCTGATCTGGTTTTCTGCTGCTAAAGCAAAAGTGGAAAAAACTGATCTAATGACAGAGCTTGCTTCAGGTCAAAATCAAAGTGATACAATCAAAAGGGAATCAAAACATCTTAAAGCTGAAAACACAACAACAAATTCAACAAATCGTAATCACAGAGGTGTGATCAGAAATCAGCTGACTGGATTGAAGCAAAAATGACAGTAAAACCAAAATAATGTAATAAAGTGGTCGCTAGAGGACGCATTGTACCACATCAAGTATAAACGGGTTTATTTAGTTTTTTTTTACGGAGCGGATTCATATGTTTACAAACTTGCTTCATAGGAATAATGGAAAGGTAGTATTTTTTTCAGCTGATAATTAAAGAATAAACACAGTGAGAACCACAGTTGTAACACGAACTCAAATGAAATTAGACCTTTATGTAAAGAGTTTTAATGACCAATAGTAATAGATCGTTCAGTACATTTTTGTCACGTGATCAGCTGTTACGTTGTTAGCTAAAGGGCTAATGATTACAGCTACGTTACAACGTTAGATAAAACAAAAACAAGCTAAATGCCACTTACCGAATATACTGACGCTCTTAACAGTCTTCTGCTCAGCACTAATAATTCAAATGTTTCTCTTCAAAGCAAAAATGCAACCACAGTGTGGAACCGGAGCTACAAGTTACTCCGAAAAACGAAAACAATGTCGAAAGGAATTTTGGGTAATTGTGTTTTAGAGCTTTGAAAGTGAGTTCCTGCCCTCCACACACACACACACACACACACACACACACACACACACACACACACACACACACACACACACACACACACACACACACACACACACACACACACACACACACACACACACACACACACACACACACACACACGAGGGCAGAAACTCCCCATCCTCCCTTCTCTAACATCTCTAACGTTGCAAATCAGAGTGTTATATTTTTGTCAGCGGAGGACGACATTTCTTAGTCTTTCAATGAAACAATACACACAGAACAAGTGTATTTTCTAAGTCTTGTAGAAATCTATTTAGTCAATAAACAAATGGTAATTAAGAACTGTAATTGTATTCAAATACTGGTTACTTAAAAATAACCACAAACAGTAAAACATAATAGATGGATAATTAAGTAAACAAATGAAAAACTTTAGGGGGAGCTGGATATAGATATAGGAGTGTTTCAGCACCCCCCAAAACTAGAAACTCTTATGAGGCCAAATATCCTCTTCTAAATGGCTTTAATGCTTAGTACCAGCTTTGGCCACTAGAGGACAGCAACTCCTCATCTCCCCTTCTTTAAATGTTGTTGACATCAGTGTTGTTCAATTCTTTAATATATATCAGATTATTTACTTAGTGTCTCTGTGGACACATTCTTCTTTTTAAGCTAAAAACATCTTTTCATCTCAGATTGGATGGAGTCCAACAGTGAAGATGATGAAAGCCACAACCGTGACTTTCATTATGAAGCAACACAGTACAGAGTAAGCTATGCTTTTAGGAGAAACACTAATGAGGTTAGCTCTGTAATATAATGTAATTGAAATCAATTTTTGAACATTTTAGTTTTTTTTCTAGAACATGTAGTGAAACAACTGGAAGTTGAGATGCCGCCATTACAGTGACAGTTTTCAGATAGACAGCCGCAGGCACTGTGTGTGAAGCAGGCCTCCTCTTTGTTTCCCTTGGGTGCCCACCATTGTGATATTTTATTTAAATAAAATGTTTTTATTTCTGAAGATAACTGCCTTTCTTTTATGAGTCTAAGTAGGAAATGAAGGAATCGCTGCTGCATTTGGACGTTCTCTGAGGAGGGTGCATTTGCTCAAGGCAGAGTTTGCATAACCCATTTTCTCGTTACTTTCATTTTTAAAATGACACACATTCAAAACAATTACATTTTATTGATTTTTAATTAATATTTAGTCCAAACAAGCTGATCAGGGTGACCCAGTAATGTTTAAACAATGGATTAAACCAATTTCACTTTAATTACAGACATTTCACCTGCTGCAGCTGAACGCACATTCCTGCTGATCCACGTAAACCTGAATCAGTCACCTGCTTGTTGGTATTAATTTAATATATCTTCATCGGTTACTGGAGACCCCCATCAAACATGATCTATCCAGGTATTCATGCTATCACTGAGCCAGTTTAGAATGACAGCAGAATGAATGAACCATTGACAATGTCACTGCAGCAATGGCAGCCCCACAAGAACCTCCACAAATTGCTTGCTGAATCAGTCCAAAGTATTAACATTCAGTTATATTTTTACGACAGGTAGAATCCGATAAACGCGAGCAGTTCAACAAAAAGAGGTATTTTATTGCTGATTACTGTCTCTTTTCTTTGTTATTATTGTAGTTTTATCCAATGATGTTGAAGTATTTTGCCCTGTCCAGGAATCCAGGGAGTCGCTATGGTAACAACCCAGGGAGAGTGAAGCGGGTTGTATCATGTAAGAGGAAGACCCATCACATGACGGCAGTTCGACGGAAACACCTCGGATCGGGGAGGAATTCAGAAGCAGCAACCAGGAATAACGAGACAAGATTCTCACAGAACGCACAGCAGGAATTCTTCTCCCGCCACCCACACGAGTTCCCACAAAATGTCAACAATAATGAATTTAGCGGTCAAACTGGTTCTGAGCAGACTGACTGCAACACACTCAATGAGGCAACTATCATAACCCTTTGTCTTTCGTGAATTTGTTTTATAAAATATCTGAACAGAACTGCTTTTTCAGCTTCGTAGGGATCACAACATGATGGCTGATGTACTATTTGGAAGAAATCTAAGACTAAAGGTGGCTTTGACGTTGTGGCAAAGAAATATGGGAGAGCTGTTGACTTACATTGTGAAGTACGTACCACAGAGTTGTTGTCAAACATGCTCCATGCTGTGTTTTTCCTGGATTTTCAAAGTGAAGTTATTTATTCTCTACAGAATCCAAGACACTGGTGTGGTTGTTGATTTCCTTCCACTAATTAGCAAATGGTAAATCTTTTGTCATTCAAACATTTTAAAACACGGTCAACAAAATAAGTTAAGTATGTATTTTTATTTGCAGCATTAATGAAGACTCACCCAGGGTTACCATTGGGAGTTGTGTTGATCTCTTTCCTCTAGTGAGGCAAGTACTCAGCAAACCGTACGAAGAGTGAGTCTTCCTTTTGTTATTGTAACATCCAGCAATGGTCAGTTTTTAGGTACTGTTTGACCATCCAACATCTTGTCAAAAAGGAGACACGAGACTGTATGTGTCCCCTCTAAATCAGCCTGCCTCCATCACACCAACTGGAGCTCAGAGCCTGCAGCTCTGACATAGATAATGAAGTGTCAGTATAAATGTTCCTTCCAAGGTCCCTCACAGAGCATCCTTTTATCTAAGGTCTAGTCCACACGTAGCCGGGTTTTAAAAAAAATGAATATCTGCCCCTACAAAAACTTGCATCCACACCAACTCGTTTAAAAAAAAACTCTGTCCACACGTACCCGGATAAATACGTTGTTAAGGACATGCCAGACCTGTAGGCGGCAGTACTTCTCCCGAATTGTATCCAGTCAGTGTAACTTTTCGTCTTCCGCAAGGAGCAGTAATTCCGCTTGCAAAAACAAACAAGCAAAAAGCACTTGGACAATTGATAAAGCGAGTGCAGCTCTGAGGGCATCCATGCTGTCGGCTAACAAAGGTCGCACACGTGATGTCAGCATTTTTTTGTCGCGGAAAGTGACGTTGCGGACCTTAAAACTCCAGTTTTGTCTGTCCACACGCAGACACCCAAAACGGAGAAAACGCAGATCTTCACTTTGGCCGGAGTTTTTAAAAAGGTCAGTTTTTGTGTGAAAAAACTCCATTTTCGTGTGGATGACAGGCCAAAACGTAGAAAAATATCTACGTTTGGCAGATCCCCGGCTACGTGTGGACAGGGCCCAAGACTCCTTGCTTCACAGAAGAAAGAAGATTTAAAATTAAATATGAACTTCTAAAACTTATAAGCAAGATAATCAGTAAATAAATGTTTGTTTCTTGCTACTTATGATATTTAATATAATGAAATGCTTTCATTAATCTGTGCTCAATGATTGAAGGTTGAAATGAATGTTATGTTGTGATTACATTGATTGATTGCATGTTTACTTGACAAGGTCATCACCATTTGCACTCACACAAGAACAAAGTAAGGTAAAGTTAAACCCATGACACATAAATAGTCTTTTACCCAGATCAGAGCCTCCGGTATCAAAGAAGGCATGTCTCTTAGATTCTTGGTAATATTCCTCAAACTTGTCAACCTCTGGTTGGCTACACAGTCATAACATGAGAACATTAAAACCAGATTACTCAGGTTTTTTCCTCAGTTCTAGAGAAAGCTTCAGACCGGCCACCTGAAGCAACACCTCTTTAACCACCAAAGCTTTTGACACGTCCTCAAAACCTTTTTGCACATGCGAAGCTGATAAAGCAAACAGTTCCTGCAGAATGAACTGATGTTGTTTAGACTCCTTAAGAGTCCACCAGAGACGCGCGGTTCCATCCGTCTGTCGTGACCCGAGACATCTCTGGACTGAAGGGTCGGTGCCACGGTGTTCTACAGCCCTCCGGTGCCAGAGGTCATCTGACCTTCCTGACCTTCGGATCCAGCAAGAGGGTCTCCAAAAAACGGGTGAAGTAGACATGACAGATTGCGTCTGATGTGGTTTTGATGACATTCAACTTCATAGCTTAACGCAAACCTAATTATTTTACATCCAGAACTCAGGTCTCCTAGATACGAAGTTCTGACTAACATCACATTCACACATAGGTTCATACATCACATTTAGTTCCATCCATCACAGTAAATGCTTAGTTAACTTGTCATGTTTTAATTGTTGGTCAAATAAATTCTTACTTTTATAAACCTGACTGTTTTCTGAATCAAGACGAAGTGTGTACAATCCCCTAATAAATAAAGAATCCTAGAATCTTCTGATAAACACAGTAAAGACAAAGCAGGGTTGATATTCTATATTTAGATAGAGTATTACAGCTTATTGGTCATAAGTAGAGGTAATATATATATTGAGCTCTTAAAGCACTGAATTTACCAAACCCTGCACATTGGCAGAAGCCAGCCAGGCTTTATTAGAATTGTCCACTTCGTGTTGGTTCTAATTCATTAATTAATTATTCAAAAAACTATTATTTTCTGTCTGGGTGGAAAACGAGGGCAATCTCATTATTCGCCACCTGGGGACACTGCCCCTACCTATTTAGCAGACAGGGATACCCCCGTCCCCCACCTGGGATGCTACTCTCCCTTGCCATCCAAAGTCTATGTGTCTATAGCAAAGCCACAGCTAAAACTGCAAGAGATTAACTGTTTGAGATTTAAAGGTAAATACATTTATGTGTGTGAGTTTGTCACGTCCTTTGAGTGATTCTGCTATGTTTATTTGTGTGGTTTTGTCACTGTTGAAAAGCTTGTGTTACATGGGTCAGGAAACGCTGATTGATTGGGATTGAGGAGCTTCTCAAAGTATTCCTTCCACCGTCCGACTATAGCCCCAGTTGATGTCAGCAGCTCCCCATCCCCGCTGTAAACAGTGTGAGCAAGTTGCTGCCTTCCTCTCCTGAGGCGCCGTACAGTTTGCCAAAACCTCTTTGGAGCCGATCGATAGACTTTCTCCATGGCCTCACCAAACTCCTCCCACGCACAAGATTTTGCCTCTGCCACTGCTGCACCCCGCTTGACTATCCAGTACCTGTCTGCTGCCTCCGGAGACCCACAGACCAGCTATACCCTGTAGGCCTCCTTCTTCACCCTGACGGCTCCCTGAACCTCTGGTGTCTACCAGTGGGTATGGAGGTTGCCACCACAACTGGCACCGGCCACCTTGCGACCACAGCTAGCAACAGTCGCCTCAACAATCGCAGAGTGGAACAAGACCCACTCGGAGTCAATGTCCCCCACTGCTCTCGGGACGCGGTCAAAGCTCTGCTGGAGGTGGGAGTTGAAGACCGTCTTGACAGTTTCTTCTGCCAGGCGTTCCCAGCAGACCCTCACAATGCGTTTCGGTCTGCGAGGTCTACACGGCATCTTCCCCTGCCATCTGATCCAACTCACCACCAGCTGGTGATCAGTTGACAGCTCCGCTCCTCTCTTCACTCAGGTGTCCAAAACATACGGCCACAGGTCAGATGATATGACTACAAAGTCTATCATCGACCTGCGACCTAGGCTGCCCTGGTACCAAGTGTACTGATGGGCATCCTTATGTTCGAACATGGTGTTCGTTATGGCCAAACTGCGGCTTGCACAGAAGCCCAATAATGAAACACCACTCGAGTTCAGATCAGGCGGGCCGTTCCTTCCAATCACACCCCTCCAGGTAATGCTGTCATTGCCCACGTGAGCATTGAAGTCACCCAGCAGGACAATGGAGTCCCCTGATGGAGCACTATCTAGCACTCGTCCCAGGGACTCCAAAAAGGGTGGGTACTCTGAACTGATATTTGGCCCATAAGCACAAACAACAGCCAGGACCCGTTCCCCGACCCGAAGACGCAGGGAAGCTACCCTCTCGTCCCCCAGGGTAAACCCCAACACACAGGCAGAGAGTCTTGGGGCTAACAAAAAGCCAACCCCAGCCCTCCGCCTCTCACCCAGAGCAACTCCAGCAAAGGAGAGTGTCCAACCCCTCTCAAGGGCTTGGGTTCCAGAGCCAATGCTATGTGTAGAGGTGAGTCCGACTATATCTAGCCGGTACCGCTCAACCTCTGCCACAAGCTCCTGCTCCTTCCCCGCCAGCGAAGTGACGTTCCATGTCCAAAAACCAGTTTCCTTGTCCGGGGATCGGACCTGAGGGTGTGTTCTAACTATAGGGGGATCACACTCCTCAGCGTCCCTGGAAAGGTCTACTCCAAGGTACTGGAGAGGAGGGTCCGATCGATAGTTGAATCTCAGATTGAGGAGGAGCAATGTGGTTTTCGTCCTGGCCGTGGAACTGTGGACCAGCTCTATACCCTTGCAAGGGTGATGGAGGGGGCATGGGAGTTTGCCCAACCAATCTACATGTGTTTTGTGGATTTGGAGAAGGCTTATGACCGTGTCCCCAGGGGCACCCTGTGGGGGACGCTCTAGGAGTATGGGATGGGTGGCCTTTTGTTAAGGGCCATTCAGTCCCTTTACCAGAGGAGCTTGAGTTTGGTCCGCATAGCCGGTAGTAAGTCGGACCTGTTCCCGGTGAGGGTTGGACTCTGCCAGGGCTGCCCTTTGTCACCGGTTCTGTTCATTACCTTTATGGACAGAATTTCTAGGCTCAGCCGTGGTGTGGAGTGTGTCGAGTTTGGTGGCAGGAGAATCTCGTCTCTGCTTTTTGCGGATGATGTGGTCCTCCTAGATTCATCCAGCTCTGACCTTCAGCTCTTGCTGGGTAGGTTCGCGGCCGAGTGTGAAGCGGCTGGGATGAGGATCAGCACCTCCAAATCTGAGACCATGGTTCTCGACCGGAAAAGGGTGGCTTGCCAACTCCGGGTCGGGAGAGAGGTCCTACCTCAAGTGGAGGAGTTTAAGTATCTCGGGGCCTTGTTCACGAGTGAGAGTAGGAGGGATCGGGAGATCGGCAGGCAAATTGGTTTAGCGTCTGCAGAGATGCGGACGCTGAGCCGATGTGTCGTGGTGAAGAGGGAGCTGGTCGTGGCTACAGTGGCTGAGCGCCATACATGGCTGCTCTCGCTGGGGAAACAAGATCCCATGCTTGTGGCTACGACGAGTCCTTTGAGCATCTTGCACCAGGTGACCTATTAGAGAAGCTGCAGGAACACGCAGCTGCCTTACCCGGAGAGGGTGAGAGAGTCAAAGCAGCAACCCGCACGGAGAACCTGGGGCGGTTTGCTCTTCTTCTAGCTCACCTCTGGGATAAGGAAGTTGAGAGTAACGTGGCAACACAAGAAACTCAAATCTGTACGGATGTCACTACTTAATTGTTCCGATTGTTTGTGTTTTTGTAGGTACCTGATTGTTGGTTTGGAGTGGATAAGTTCTGTTTTAGATCACTGGCGGAAGGAACTTGAGGCGAGTGGCTTGAGTGGATCGACTCAGCCTCAGCTGGATGAGTAAATGCCATTTTATGAATAATAACAAAAAACTCATAGCTTTTATTTTATTTTATTTTATGTTGTTTTAAAGAAATTTTCAGGTTTTTAATCAACAGTTATGGGAGTTGTGGAACCAGGAACCTCTCCTAAAGACTGTTCCGGGAGCAGCAGGAGACAAAGCCAAAGTGAGACAGAAAACATTAAATGTTCATAGAAAGTTCTCAAATTCTCACAATCTTTATTTTCCCTTTTTAGGTTGTGGAGTCCTTTTTGTTTCAACTTAACCAGCAACAGTCAAGATCACCATGAAGTCATTTTTCTGTCCTCAGCCTCAACACAAACATGAAGTTGTGTTCTCATAAATATTACGCTGTGTGTTGTCATATTGTTTTCTTATTGTGCTAAATGGATTATTTTATTTCTTTAGTGATTAAATAAAAATACATAGTTCTATGTGACACTTTTGGGACAGATTATTTATTAATGAATTTATAGTAAGTTTTTCTGGGGGAAATAATCTGAAAAATAAACACTAAATGTGTGTTTTAGTGTGAACATAATCAGTTTTAGCAATTTTTAAACACAAACAAGAGAGAGACTCATATAAAACTGCATCCCCCCACCTTGATGGTCTCGTTTCGTCTTCTTCCGTCTATCTGGGTCTGGGTCGCGGGGGCAGCATCCCAACTAGGGAGTTCCAGACTGTCCTCTCCCTGGCCACCTCCACTAGCTCCACCGGCAAGACACCAAGGCGTTCCTGGGCCAGTTCATAGATGTACTTTCTCCAACGTGTCCTGGATCAACCAGGGGGACTCCTGCTGGCAGGACATGCCTGGAACACTTCTCTGGGAGGCATCCAGGAGGCATCCTAACAAGATGCTCAAACCACCTCAACTGACTCCTCGCGATATGGAGGAGCAGCGGTTCTACTCCGAGTCTCTCCCGAATGTCCAAGCTCTGCCCCTATCCCTAAGGCTTAGCCCAGCTACCCCGCGGAGAAAACTCATTCCAGCCGCTTGTATCCGCGACCTTGTTCTTTCGGTCATTACCCAAAGCTCATGACCATAGGGGAGGACTGGGCAGTAAATTGAAAGCCTTGCTTTCCAGCTCATCACCTAGATATGAGCACCCTTAATTAATTACATCGGTTGATGGGAATGGTGTGACTTCTACAAGCAGTTCCAAAATTACCACAGGAAACAGTTTGGTGTGCCACCCCAGATTTTTCACTGGGCCCCCATGAAACCTTTCTGGAGGCACCACCGGTCTGGTCACATGATGAACTCTGTGAAAAGAACTGGCAGTAAGCAGGGGCACAGATAGGATTTTAAAACTCGGGGGCAAAGTTCCAATGTACCCTCCCCCAAACACACACACACACACACACACACACACACACACACACACACACACACGCACACACGCACACACACACGCGCGCGCACATACACATACACAAACTATTGCAAGCGCCTTAACTAGAGCTCAGTCAGTTTGTGTAATTTCATCCAATGGTTTACGTAAAAACGAACACTTTTAAATATGTATTTGAAGCCATTATACAGCGGAACGCTGGCAACAAAGCTCTGCCTGATCAACACTATAAATGATAAATAATCCACACTTGTATAGCGCCTCTCAGAGTAAGGACTCCAAAGCACTTTACACTACAGTGTATCATTCATCCATTCACACACACATTCACACACTGATGGTGATGAGCTACGATGTAGCCACAGCTGCCCTGGGGCGCACTGACAGAGGCGCCCCACTATTTAAATCAGTCGTTTGTTTTTCTCCCAATCAGTTACTAACCAAAACCTCATGCTTTATGCAAAACATCAAATGATTTTCAGCACACCAATCTTTACAGAAAACATAAAAGCCCTAAAAAACGGCAAATAAAATATATTTAAAAAATGAAATTCACTTATCACTTAGAGCAGTAGTTCCCAAACTTTTCAGCCTGACCAACAGATGTTCCTTCGTATTTTTACGTTATTTAGACATTTTCATTATATTTGGAAAGTTTTTATTTATAAATACATATTTAAAGCTCTTTTTAAATTTTATATTTTACTTTTTTTATGATTATGTGGCACACTTTGACTTCCATACATAACGCCCCTTTTTATAGACTTTTTTTACATTGTCGCTACGTCTGTCACGTTAGCGGTGTTTTTACCATCATTTCTACATCCATCATGTCCCAGAGAGGGTTACACCAACATCAAACCCAACGTTTGGAGCTTGTAAACTCCACACACCTCTCATGCAGCACCAGCTGTCTGATGCTGCAGCGGCGTCAATCTTCCCAGCTGGATGAGTGAATTTCTTCATCAGTCAATATTTTGCTTCATAATCAGAGTCAGTCATTACCAGACAAAGTGATCAGTCAACAAAGACCAGACCTGCTGGCAATTATACATTTTATCTGATATTTGCGCTCTCCATGTTGGCCACATCTCCTCCTCTCCCCGACTGGGAGCCTCTCGGCCGGAAGCGTTTTTCAAACTCTAAAAACTCCCAAACTTTGCTCAGCCTGAAGGTTACACATCTCCACTATCTTCTGATGTAAAGTAGTAACTTCATGAGGGATCGTATTTGTAGATGAGACTTGTTAAAGTCAGCAATGAGGCTTTGGCGTTTATAACGAGTAAGTCCCAACACTGACAACAATGTACTGAAACTAGAACCAACATGCATAAACGGACAGATCGGTCCCGCCTACTTAGGCCTACATTGTTGGTCTTTTTTAAATACGCAGTAATCGTTGCTTGCCTTTTTCACTTCATCCTGCATCCTAGCAGCAACCACTTTGGTGCCTCTGGAGTCGGTGTTTGTTTACGTCATGCTGCATTCAATGTAATTGGATACAGGAGCTTCAAGCGCTTAACCTCGATTTTGTTTTCTTTCTGGCTTTAGTGCGGGTGACAAATCAGGGTCGATTTGAATCTGGGGGGGGGGGGGGGGTCAGATCCCCCCATCCCCCACCCTATCTGCACGCCTGGTAGTAAGACCTCTCTAATCAGCAGAATTCCTGAAAAGGTTCCTTAACTCATTAAATGCACTAGTTCATGCTGTAGAAATGTTTCTCAGTCAATTCTCTGTTTTCAAAGATGGCAGAAATCAAATGGTTAAAAGTCAACTAGGAGGAATGTGAGGCCTACACCTTTTCGAAGCTCTGGGCCATCCCTTTTTATTTCTTTCCTGAACTTCAGCCTCAAGCCGCAGCAGAAGTGATCAAAGTAAGACAAAGATATGAGTTTACATTCAGCTTTATCTCTCTTGATACAGATAACCCTGTGTCTGTATCGTAATGTGGGCCTGGGTCTAAAGTCCAGACATAACCAGGCAGGAGACGGAGGCTGTAATCCACTGAAATCTGCAATCATGTTTGCAGTCTGGTGCGTTTTTATTTAGCCTGTGTAAAAGAGCACAGCACAAGAACACCTATCTACCGACTGTTTCGTGATCTACAAGTCAGCACTGTGAGTATTTCACTTAACTTCCGTTACATTTTGTAGTTTATCATAAAGTAAGTTGACTCAATCTTAAATTCTTGCATGAGGAGCAATTTAACTCAGTTTGTTATGACAGGAGACGAGAGCGAAGGATGACGTGGTGGAGATGTTGGCTGTCAGCCGTGGTTCCACTGCTGCTGAGTGTGAGTGAAGCTAACGTGGAACAACTCCAAGCTGAGAACCTTCACCTTCTTCTCCCTGAAGATCACAACACAGTCCTGAACAGTGGGATGAAAGGTTGTTTTTCAGACTTCCACTTTCATTTTTACTTTTCACATTTTGCTTCACTAAGGACCGTGAAGCAGAAAGGACAGTGATGCATTTTTAAACCTCAGACTGTTGGAAATAGCTTGGTGTTCTTTGAGGAGATTTGCTTATTATAAGTGAGGTAATCTGACCAAACAGACAGCTGTTTTCATGTCAAACTATGGCATGAAGGAAGTAATCCTAACATAAAGAGTAATATAATTAAAACAGAAAATTGTTTACGAGAGTGGCCTTTCATGCAACAGGATTTATTCATTGTGATTTGCACAATTTTAAAGACTTTTGTTTCTAAATAAAAAGCTAAAATGACCATTTCTCACATGCAGGTGATGACAATGAGCTAGAAAGCACCAAACTCTACTGTCGCGTTGAAAAATGAGACATTTCATACATTTAATTTCTCTTGGTTAAAATCAGGTTTATTTCTATTTACTTCATATGAAATTCTTTTCCCTTGTCATTCATTTTAGCTGCTTGTTCTTCTTCCTTCATTATTAAATGTTTATTTTAATCACATTTAAACTCTCATTTTGCAATGTTTCTTCTACTTTTGAGGTCAGCTGTGAGACCGAAAACAGAAAGCAACGTTCATTAGAACTCATTACAGCATCTTTTAGCAACATTGTTATGATCACAAGGTGAATAATCAGTGAATAAACACCTGATTCTGTTTACTTGTTTAACAGTGGTTCCCAGAGACTGCTATGAAATGCTGATGGCCTCTTCAGGCCAGGCCAGAGATGGGGTTTACCTGATCCGACCACATCACACCCCCATTGTGACTTACTGTGCTATGCAAGAGGGAGGCTGGACCGTGCTTCAGCACATCACCGTCAACAGCAGCGTCAATTTTGATCGCACATGGGATGAGTACAAGAGCGGGTTTGGTGATGTCACTGGTGATCACTGGCTTGGAAATGAATACCTCCATCAGCTCACTCGTGGCCCCGCCCACTATAAACTTGGAGTAAAACTCGTAGATCAAGACGCCGCCACCAAGCTGGGGGAGTACGATCCATTTCTGGTGGAGGATGAGTCAGCAGCATACAGGCTGAGGCTGGGGTTGTTTCAGGGCACAGCCCAGGACGCTCTGACCCTGGACACAGAGAATTACCTTCACGACAACCAGAAATTTACCACCAAGGACAGAGATAACGACAACTACTTCCAGAACTGTGCCAAACTGGAGTTTCAAGGTGTGGCAGGAGGGGGGTGGTGGTACGATGCATGTGCTGGGGCTAATCTAAACCGCAGGAATGTTATTTACTGGAACAAGGACTGCAACAAGGAGCAGCTGTGCAAGTATGCATGGATGATGGTGAGACCGTCAGACACCGTTAAAGTTATTTATAGTGGAGATGGCAAGAGGGATGAGCTATGAAGAATCTGTGCCACATCTCAGGCTTTTTATGCAAAAGCATCCACGTCCTGGATGTTAAATGCATCACATTTTATTCAGAAATGATTCATGACCACAAAATACTGAAAACAATCACAAACTTGAAACGCTGCGTAAAAAAAGATCTGTTTCAGTGTACGCGTATCATCTTTGTTATTCTCCAAATCAGAAGGCTTCTTGTTTTTTTCAGTTCTTAACTTCATTATAACTTATATTCACAGAATTAAGAAAAATTACATTTTCTCCCAAAAATCCTCCACCCTCAAATATGTGAAGATTTGACATATTTAGCTCCAGTTATTAAGAGAAACAAACACTTTGACACCTAAGAAAAACAACATTCTGAGAATTAAAGGTAATGAAACTGTTTTTTTTTTACTTTTTTATGTTAAATCTTCCAGTTATCTTGATGTAAACACTGACAATGGTAGAAACGTAGCAGAAATTCAAAAGTTTGTTATGCACTGTAAAACATTACATGTTGAATGAAGTTATTTCATCTGGTTCCACTGAACCTAGTTGCTTTAAATGTAAATAGTAGTATACATTTACTTTTACCATAACAGCGTATAACTATGTATTTTACTCTTAACATTAGAGCAACTAGGTTTAGTGGAACCAGTTGACATAATTTGATTAAAGAGCAAGTCAACCCCCCTATCAGAGTCTTACTCCGCCCACATTCCCTGTTTGAAAAATGCACCAAAAGGAGATGCTGCAGCAGTGACACAGACTGTGGGATAGCCAATAACGATGCTAGCTCCTTTGTCTCACAGCAGTCATTTGAGGTGGAGGATTTCTCTCCACCTCCTTCACGAGAGGAAGGGGAGGAAGGAAGGTTCTTTGTTGGAAGAGACAAGCAGCGCTGAGGTACATCGTTTTGAACTGATGACTCGTGAGTTGCCTAAAGCCACATGCCAAGGTCAATGTCGTACTGTACAAGCTAATGTCACATTTAGACTCTTAGCAAATAGCGAGGGCTGATTCTAATTCATATGTAGTGCAGACCTTTAACCTGAAGAGGGCGCCACTTTGACTACATGTCTACAGCGATGTTAGACACTGATTTATACAGTTCAGAAGCAAAAAATAAATAAAAAAAGACTTGGGGCTGACTTGGTCTTTCAGTAAAAATCACATTTTATTTCTTAAATTGGGATGAGCTGATGCATCGCCACAATGACTGTAAGCAGCTGAATCTACATTTAATGATGTGACAAATTACTGTGTGTAAGGCTTCAGTGAGCTAAAAACCGTTATGTTAGCCCTTTGGAATTAATACTATAAACACAAGATCTGAAGGTTTAAACTGACCTTTGTGTGTTGGATGGAAGTGCAGCAAATGAAAAAATGAAAAAAATTAACAAAAAAAAAAACATGGACACACGATGCCCAAAATTTTTATAAATTCATGGGAAATACATGTAAATCTATGCACACTGTCACAAATTGTGTAATAATCTTCTTCCTGTAGACTTGTAGCAGCAATCCTGTCAGTCCATAACAGATCGACCCGTAACACTTCACCTTATTCATTCACCCAAGTTGAAGAATCCCAGTCTGTTGGTGCAAGTGTACAACATACAAGTTGGACATTAGTTCATGTCAGCTTGGAGCTGACTGCAGGGTTCTGCCCACACCAGTATAGTTTCTCCTCAAGTCGTTTCTTTCTCCACTGGCAGAGCAGCAGCATGCGGAAAGTCTTTTGAAAGTTCTTGTTGCAGAGAGCATAGCACATGGGGTTGACGGTGCTGTTGACGTAGCACAGCCAGTAGCCCAAGTGCCAGAGGGACAGGGGGATGCAGTCGGAGCAGAAGGTGGAAATCAACACCATGATGTTATAAGGCGTCCATGTTAGGATGAAGGCCAGCAGGATGGCGCTGAGAGTCTGCGCTGCCTTCTTCTCCTTGATCAGCACCATCCTCTTCCTCTTGGTGATCTGGTTTTTCAGAGAAGCATCTATCGGTTTAGACGTCAAAGAGGTGGACGGCGCGCTCATGGACTCAGCCGAGGAGAACGCTGAGGACACCATTTTGGTGTCTCCGTTTTTGCTCTGGCTCTGGAGTTCCGTGTGAGCATCTTTAGAAGCAGGTTTAAATTTATAGGACACACACTTGCTGCTCCTCTGAGAGCTGCTTTTGGGAAGTGGCTGGAAGAAACTGTCTTCGGCATAGCTGCTGAGCTGCTTGCTCTCATTGCTTGTTTTACTCTTGTTGGCCTCACCAGCATGGTTCCTGAACGAGGATCCGAGGCCTCCAGGAGACGCCGGTCGTTCCTCGTCCTCTGAGGAGGCATAGCTGTTAAAGGTGGTGAGCTGACCTGATTTGGACCACTCGTCACTGGTAGAAGTTGCTGATTTGGCGTTGCTCCTGCTGGACGATGACCATGAAGCTTGGTTCTGATCGTGTGAAGCTGATCTCAGTTTACAACTAAAACAAGATCTGGTGATGGTCTTCTGGGGCTGTGTCTCCGCAGATTCTGTTGAGTAGTTGACTCCCTGAAGTTCAGCTAGATCCTTGGTCCTCTTCTCCGTCTCTTTGTAGATCCGACCATAAAGGATTGTCATAACTGAGACAGGAACGTAAAAAGCAGCAATCGCTGTTCCAAATGTTATCACTGGCTCAGAGAAAAATTGGATCTGGCACTGCCTCTCAGGAACCGTCCTTTTCCCAACAAAGTATTGCCAGCAAAGAATAGGTGGCGCCCACAGGATCAGAGACACCAACCAAGCCAAACCGATCATGATTCCAGCTCGTTTGGGAGTCCGTTTGGCCCTGTAGGTCAGAGGCCTGGTGATGGAGAAATATCGGTCAAAACTGATCACCAGCAGGTTCATGACTGAGGCGTTACTAGCTACATAGTCCAGTGCCAACCACAGGTCACAGGCAAGGTTCCCCAAGGCCCAGTAGCCCATCAGAATGTAAGAGGTGTACAGATTCATGGAGAAAACACCAATAATGAGGTCAGCAGCTGCCAGACTCAGCAGATAGTAGTTATTCACTGTCTTCAGTTGGCTGTTGACTTTGAAGGAGAGCATGACAAGAACATTCCCCACAATGGTGATGAGGCTGACAATGGCTGACACAGTGGCAATGGTGATTACCTCCCAGAGACTGTGAGTGACTAGTTGGAATTCCATCACGCTGCTGTTCATCGTGGAGTTAACTATGTTTTCTCCTTCCATGGTCCTCTTTCTTTTTTTAGTGGAATCCATCCATAGCAAATGTGCGTAGATGTGTCATTTCCAGAAAGGTATTCTGCAAAAAGATAGAGAAATTGGTTATTTTTTCCTTCAAAATAAATTGCATGAATTTGCATTTATCCATGTGTCACAAATTAAATGGATGAAAAAAGCGGAAAACGTTTAACCCTCTGGAGGCAGACTATGCTATGTTAAAACCTACCTACCTGGTTACTCCACACATTTATTGTTATAATACTCTGACAAACTAAGCACAGTTGACTTGTTTGTTTTGAGCTGATTCTAAATAAAGTTCCTTCCCTTCTTTCCCCACTAGATGGGGACATGTGCTCTTTACATGTGGCTGCAATCAGTGCCGTCTCAGGTCACATCAGTGGTGTAAATCAACACTTAAGGAGACATTCCTGGACAGTTTAGGACTAGGATGTCATTTCATTGTTATGAGTACAGTAAATGACAGCCGTATCACTTTTTCAAAGGCCAGTGAAAATGTTTTTGAAGTAAATGTAAAATTGTTACTGATGAAATTTTAAATTAAAGATATCTAATTTGATAACTGAACCAGAACAAAAGCCATTAAAAGTCTCCACAAATGGAACTGAATGCAGATAAACTATGTTGAAAACATCTGTTTCTACAAGCATTATATTTACAAGTTTAGGTGCTTCTTTATTTTTTGAAGATGTTTTAAAGTACAAATGCTGTACAGATAATTACAATGGAGCTGTAGCTGAAAATCATACATATATACATACACACACACACATATATATTGAGATGATTCTCAATATATATATATATATATATATATATATATATTTATTTATATTTATATTTATATTGAGAATCATCTCTCTCTCTCTCTCTCTATATATATATATATATATATATATATAGAGAGAGAGAGAGAGAGAGAGAGAGATGATTCTCAATATAAATATAAATATAAATAAATAAATATATATATATATATATATATATATATATATATATATATATATATATATATATATTTATATTGAGATGATTCATCTCAAGTGGTTTTATCCTCCGAAAATATGTTAATAAATAACATAAAAAACCTCTAAATGACTGAAAATAGCCAAAGAAACTGTGGCGTGCGTCTACCATAACCTGTACAAACTAAATCCTCCATGTTTTGGAAATGTGCAGCCGGAGATAGCTTCACACATTAAACAGCACCATCTCAAGGAAATTGCCTTTCAAGCACACTTCATCCACCAACTCAAACAGAGCTGCCTGGTTGGAGTGTTTTAATCAAAATTCTGCTGAAGGAAATTATATATCAGCACAGCTTCAGAGAACAGTTACTCAAATAAACGTAACAAGTCCCTCAAAATAACTCCGATTCTCACGGGGGATGTGTCATCAGCAGTTTTTTTTTAAAATGTGCTTCAGGTGAATCTGGAAAAGAAACATTTCTGTTATTTTGTTTCCTCATAGATTAAATAAATTTTATTCTAATATGACAAATATCTCAAGCAGTTTGAGAGATGGAGATCTGTCTTGAGGTTTTTCAGAATTTGAGAGCTTATCTGATTTAATTTATATCTGCTCATAGTGAACTAAGCTGGTAGCAGTCACCTTTCACACTTAAAAATAACCTCAACAATGGGTGGTTGCCATGAGTTCCAGTGGCAGTTCACAGTCAACACAAATAACATCCCAGTTTGCTGTAGCGTGTCATGCTGGAAATGTTCCCTCAGTGGTTGAGATTACATTTGTAATTTCATTGTTGGATTTAGAAGAAGAAGAAAAAATCACAGCTGTAAAGGGCCAATATTGATATATGGGCGGTATTCTCACACCAACAGGCAACATACAGTTGGACTTCTTTTCATCAGAAATTATAATTTTGAGAATTGCAAATTGGATAAATGTGTGTGTGTGTTCATGAAAATTATGGAAGGAATATGAACCATATTTCAATTTAAAATGCAGTAGCAGAAATGCTTTTTCATTTTCACAATAAAACTGCCAATTTTGAGTCATAAATAAAAAGAATGAGAAATCCTTTAAACTGCTTTTTTTACTGCTTCATTTCATTTGAGTCAAAACTGGCAAATATGTGCTTCCATAGAAGATAGACATAAAATAATTGTAGATTCAAGATCAATTTAGCAGACTGGACCTAAGTAAAAGGAGGAAGTATCCTCATTCACTTCATTCAGCACCATGGACAGCACCACTACAAATACAATTAGAGCCAAAGATCCTGATGATGTGCATAAACCACACCAGAATCTCACAGTGTAGAGAAAAGGAAACCAAGACCAATGCAGTCCAAAGTCTTTTCCTGGTGAATGGAAATGTGCCTACATCAACATGATATAGTTGACATCAAACACGCACCTCATTAAAAATAAATTGTCCAACATTGACTATTGTGGAGTGCAGTAAGATTGGTCAAAAGAAAATTTAAAAAAACTGTTGCAAACCTTAAGTCTTTTTGATAAAAGCTTGGAAAAGATTTTATAGTCTGATCACAACAGAAAGACTGGTCTCCAGTTATGTAAAATCTCTTTTCTTTAGCAGCAGAGATAGAACGCCACACCTACATGAGGCAGGAAGTATTTCTCTCTAAAGAGAATCTTTGAAGACATCCAGAAGGTCCAGTCTCAAACAGCTCCTGAAGTGCTTGAAGAAGTCAGCAGGTGACCATTCCTCCCTGATGCCATCTGGACAACAGCAGCTGTGAGGTTGTCCAGAGTTACATCTGCATTCAAGATCTCCTGGTCTGCTGAACTCAGGTGAGGAAGCCCCTGCAGCAGCTCTTTGACACTGTCTGCATCACAGGGCTCCACTCTGAAGAAACTAGTGTAGAACTCCACTGCTTGCTTCCTTATCTTGACTGGATCTGTGGATAACTGGCCATCTGGGAGACGAAGGCAGACTATTTGTGTTCTTTCATTAGATGACTTCTCCGGGTTAAAGAGAAAGGATGTTGGAGCATCTGTGTCGTAGAGTCTGGTGTTTCAAGCTCGGACGAAGGACCCTTTGGCTTTCTCCTGCAGGACAAAGTACAGTTCTCGCCTCTTTTAGTCTAAAAATTCCTGCTGAGCAGGTTGAAAAAGTTTCTAATACCCTGACGTCCCGCTCTAAGTCCGTAACAGACTTCTTTGTTTTTCAGAGGACCCAAAAGTGTATTGTTGGCAGACATCTATTTTAAAATTTGCCTTGTTTTTAACTAAGTTAACTTCAAATATTTTGTCTTTGACCTCCACACATCCCAAAAAAGTAAAATTTTTAATTAAAACATTAAATCATGTAATCAGTACTTAAAGAGATATGGAGAAAGGTTTAGGGAGATTTAGGAAATTTTGGAGAGAGAGAGATTTAAAGAGACTTGGGCAGATTTAAACAGAAATAGTTTTAGAGAAAAAACTGGAGGGATAGACATTTGGGGAGGTTTAGAGATTCATGTAAATTTAGAGAGATTTGGGGAGAGAACTGGAGAGACCTAGAGAGACAAAGAGATTTCAGGAGATTCTGAGAGAGATTTGGAGATCTGGTGAGATCAGGAGAGTTTTAGAGTGATTTTTGGAGCTTTAGAGAGAATTAGAGAGACTTATAGAAAGTTCATGAGATTCTGAGATCTGGAGATCTTTGTGCATGACAATCCCAGAAGTCCTCTGCTGCCCGCGAATAAACGGAGAAGGAAGTGACGCCACCATCAGCGTCAGCCTAAGGAAGTTTGCAGCCGCAAACGAAATGTAGCGGGAAAATAGGTAAACAAAACTGCTCTGTGTTACAGCATGGAATCCCAGAAGATCAGCTGTTTCTGAAATACTCAGACCAGCCTGTCTACCATGCCACGTTCAAAGTCACTTAAATCCCATTTCTTCCCCATTCTGAAGCTCGGTTTGAACTAAAGCAGATCATCTTGACCATGCCAACATGCCGAAATGTCTTGAGTTGCCACCATGTGATTGGCTGATTAGTAAATCACGCTAATGAGCAGTTGAACAGGTGTACCCAATAAAGTAGTGTGTGTGTGTGTGTGTGTGTGTGTGTGTGTATACACAGTATATACACAGGCCACATTAAACGATCACATTCGGAACTTTGTGAATTCGGTTAGTGGTTGAGACTTTTTTTTAAGGAGGCTGTTTGATTTCATGTTTACCAAATGATGGGAAAACTGGCCAGACCAAAAATGGGCAGATAAAAGTACTTCTGTTCAGTTTTTAGCAGTTGTTATTACTCAGAAAGCAATAAAGGGATAATGATTGTATTTTTTGTGATTATAGAATCCATTGTTGAGAATCTTTTACAAACATTGGTGCTCTCTTTGGACTTCCAGAAAAGTAAACTGAGTTTCCCTCATTACCTATACATTGAGAGAGTATCAGCTTTCCCTTTGAAATAGCTCTGTATGCATAAGTGATGCTCCCTGATCGCATAGTTAATGGGTTCCAGTTTGTGGGTGAGGACAGGTTGTGTAGCACAAATCTCTCCTGAGTCTCCATGCTGGGTGCTGAAAGCTGGCTTCAGATTCTTTGGCACCTGGCCATTACTGCCCCCATTCTGTTGCACCCTAACAATGGCCTTCGTAATGCCCCACAGTCACCGGTAACCTTCTATTACACACACCCTCAGTCACTGCACGACTGATCTGCACAGCAAAAACAGTCACAGACAGAATCACCAGCAAACTCAAGGGAAAGATGAAAATGAGCAGAAGAACAGAGAGGAGAGTCAAAGCGAAGGAGCCAAAAGACAACATATGTGTCTGTGTGATGAGCATGAATGATATGCAAATCAGCCCAGAGCTCCTTGGCACGATAGTAGAGTCTCCTGTAGTCAGCGCACTGACCCGTGGTTAAAATCCCAGCACATGCGTGGTTCCGAAAAAAAGATATTTATGCATCAGGCCATGATAGAGAAACATTACAGGTATAAAAAGCTGCTCAAACCATAGTGCTGCAGGCAAAAACAGTGAAATAAAACCAAAACAGATCAGAGTGAATGCCTATTTTAATAAAGACAGCTGACATGAATGCATTTATAAGCTTTTTTCCACCAGATTTTTTGTAATAAAGCTTTTCTCTGATGAGAGATGATGAATAAGATCATTGGACTGATATTATGGTCTGCTTCTGGAAGCCATAGGGATTTGGCAGCTGCTGAAGGTAATGAAATCAAACACACAAAAGCCTCCAGTAGTTTTATTTTATGAGCAACTAAAACACTTCATTAACACCTTATTGTTAGGATGATTGTTAAACTCGTTTGTGTCGTTGCTCTAAACATCTTTTAAATTACGGTCTATGTTTGCCTTCATTTCCATTTCAGCTGGCCTAATTTTCCCTAAGCTGATAAAACATTTGTCTGCAAAACAAAAGCCAGACGTAAAATCCACACACACATTGATAGAGGACTGACTCGTCCACAGTCTAGTGGCTGTGCTTTCAGACCCACCAAACCATTACTCCTTAGTGACTTCCAGGGTTGTTTTTGAGGAGAAACAGAACCGTTTTTGCCGCAACACCTCAAAAGACCCGTGGGGGCTGGAGGGACTCGTTAAAATCACGCTTCACTGCTTAATCCCTCACCTTATTGTCCTTTCCACTTAATCAAAGAGAGGGATGTGAGACCCTGCAGTTCAGCAAAATATTGATTCTGGACATATTTTTTTTAATTTGTTTTAAATTTACAGAAATAAATAAAAAAGATTTTGCACAAATTCTAAAATGTGCAAAAATACACATTAGACTCATTAGTGGTGAAAACCGGGTGCGTTAGAGACAGATTAAGTGTTCTCAGAAATATGTGAGAGGTGGGAGAAGGTCACCACAACATGATGAGACTCACAAAAGGCAGAACATGCTTTTAAAAATACATTTATTAAATCATTACAAAGGTTTCACTTTCAGAAATTATTAAAAATGCTCAGTTTTGTCAAAAAATAAGATCAAGTCATAGTTTAAAAAAATGGAAAATGTGGTTTAGGTGAAGTGTTTTGAAGAGACCGGCTCATGCACATCTTCTGCTGTGTTCATTAGAGTAAAAGGCTTCATTAAAAATACATGTTTAGACCTCTCAGTTTTGCTCTTGTGTGCATACGTTTTCCCCTTTGAATCCAGGTCACGCCTTAGTACAGTAATCAAAAACTCTACACTCAATCAAAACATTTCTTTAGCTAATGTCAAACAAGAAAACCAAATATTAACGTACTCACACTTGTCTTTGATTGGATCTCAGGCTTCAGTTTTGTTGAACGCCACCCATCAGTGGAAGCAAAGTTCATTGTTAATCCCTTTGTTTTGCCTGGGAAGCCTCTGGGTTAAGTGCTTCACCAAGGAACGCGATCAGAACAAAGCTGAGGAGAGGTCTGGTGGAGAAGACATCCTGCTGACTTGACCCCTTGCATAGCAGAAAGATCCAGTCTGAGCAAAGAGGCAGAGGAGGAGGAGGAGGAGGAGAACGAAGGACAGGGTGGACACCAGAAAGCACCGAGTGTGTCGAGCGCAGCATCAATTCCCGCTCAGCTCCGTTTGTCCGAATGAGAAAAGTATCTCAAGTTGAACAGCAGCGTTCCTCGTGAATTAGAGATGATTCTGCTCAGGTACCAAAGAACAGAAGGGAACTTTCTCTTCCACGGAGCAGAGAAGAGAAGATCTGTGCTGCCTCTACAGTAGGCTGAAGCAGAATGTCACGGAGAGACAGCCCGATATCTGAGCCGAGTCCCTGCTGCTGCTGCTGCTGGACGCATTCTGGCTGAAAGACACAGATGTAGCTGACGCTAGCAAGCTGGGAGGAGGAATTCCCATAGGGTTGAATTTGTTCATCATGTTTTGGCACAGTGAGCATGAAGTGAAAACTACAGTAGGGGGAGAGGTGGGGTGTTGGCTGGGGCAGTAGTGTGTTGAAGAAGCACTGTGGGTGGTGATCAGTAACACTAATTCAAACAAGTCCTGGACTGTGTTCTTGCTTGGAAACACTCAGATTGTCACAACTTGCAAGTCTGTGAGGCTGGAGCTTCAAGGCTTTCAACAAACCCACGCCGCACCACGCCGCCGCCGCCGCCACCTTTGTACTCGCACAGGAGAGAGCTGACATGGCTGGGCCTGATAAGCAGACCGCTGGAGTGACAGATGTTTGTTTTTATATAGTGACCCGTGTGTGTGTGTGTGTGTGTGTGTGTGTGCATATGTTCTCAAGTGTAAAGTCTTAACCCTGTGTTTTAATCCAGATGATGGATGCTGATCTGTGCAGCACTTCTCGTTTAAGAAACCGGAGTTGGAGAAAAAAAAAAACAACCTGCTGTAAACCAGAAACATTTTCCTCACTAAAATTGTGGCTCTGACAAATATTTTTAATTAAAAGTCTGAAGACTTGAGGGAACAGTTTATTTCAAGTTGATAATCTCTTACTGGCAAGTCCTAAAACGGTCCTAAGTCTCTTAGGTGAAACTTGTTGCACTAAATCCCTGTAGCCGAGGCAAATTGATGATTTTATCTGTTATGACCACGAAGATGTAATATTCTATATAAATATAAAATATTAACCTGCGAGGTCTTCGTTGCAATTAATCAGAAGATTCTAGGATTTAATTAAGAAGATCTAGGTTCTTTGCTTTTTCAGTGATCAACCACACTTCTTGTTACTTCAAGAAAGAGTCAAGTTTATACAAGTAAGAATTTATTTTACAAACAATTTAAAACATGACTAATTAATTAAGCATTTACTGTGAGTGCATGTAACTAAATGTGCTGAAGGCACCTATGTGTGAATGTGATATCAGTCAGAGCTTCCTTCTCAAAATAAGTGGAGTTCTGGTGAAAAGAAGTAGGGTTTGCTCTGAGCTATAAAGTGGTTATCATCAAAATTACATTCAGATGCAATCTCTGTGTTCTACCTCACCCTTTGATGACCCTCGTCACGGATCAGAAGGTCAGAGAGGTCGGATGACCTCGGGGCACCCAGGTCCGGTAGATTGACCGCAAGCACCGACTTCTCCAGTCCAGAGTTGTCAACAGGCAGCACAGGTTGGAATCAGCTTGCGTCTCAGGAATAACTCTTAAGGAATTTAACAAAATAAGCTTCGTTCTGCAGGAAGTGTTTGCTGTCTCAACTTCGTAGGTGCAAAAAGAATTTTGACGACGTGTCAAAATCTTTGATGGTTGCAGAGTTTTTGCTACAGATGGCCGGTCTGAGCGATTCTCTAGAACTCACTAATCTCTCAGCATGTTTTAGTTTTAAAGTTTAGTTGTTATGGTTTGGACAGCCAATCAGAGGCTGACAAGTTTGGAGTTGTGTCATGACTCCCAGTCTTACACCCTCCTCTGCTGCCTCCACAGCAACCTCAGCCTGCACCTCATCAACTTCATTCATCTCACCTGTTCCTGTCATCAGCTCATCCCACACACCTGCTCCCTCTGCTATTTAACTCCCAGCCTGCTCTCCAACCAGTGCCAGATTACTGAACGCTCGTAGTCAGTAGATTTTCCAGCCTTGCACCTTGCCTGATCACAGCCTCTGGACCTCATTTTCACGCCTGACCCCTGCCTAGGACTCTGCCTGCCATCTCGACCCTCGCCTGTCTTTGACCCCTTCTCTAGCCTGCTCCATTTACCTGCTTCGCCTCGTTCTGGTTTTTGACTCACGCCTCCTCTCTGACTCTGTCTCCAGCCTCGCCCTCCTCTGGTAACGCCACATCCAATAAAGACTTAAGGAACTTTACTGTGTTTGGTGTCATCACGGGTCTTCCAAGTTCTGATCGTGATAAGGTGTTACCAAGGCAACTCAGAAACACACCCTCTTTGATACAGGATGTTCTGACTGGTTAACACTATGTGTGTCAGGGTTTAACTTAGCCGTACGTGTTATTGTGTGAGCAGGTGTGAGGACCTTGTCATCAAAACATGGTGAACACATTGCAGTCTAGCAGACAATCATAGCATCCATTCAGTGAGCACAGATTAATGACGCATTTCATTTTACTATAATTATCATAATAAACATTTAATGTTTATCTAGATTATAAGTCATAGGAGTTCACATTGATTTTGTAAATTATTTTTGAATTTAGCAATTCGTTCGAGCTGGGGTTGGAGTCTTCTGGAGGCAAGATGAGACCTTGGGAGATAAAGTTATTGTTTATGAATCAGACTTGCAGAGTCTGAATCCCAGCTGGTGTGAAGCCTGCTCATTAAAGAGAGCACATGCAATGTTGTGTCCTTTCTGACCAGATGTTGAATAGATGGTGAATCCCTCCGACATAAAGCAATTTTAGCTATTGTATTCTTGACAGTTTCAGTACCTTTCAGAAGTTTCAGGGCTCTGTCACTTTAAGAAAAAAGCTGGAGCTAGAAACCCCCACCCACCACCCGCTCAGGCTGCTATAAGCTGATGTTACGTCCCCGACAGGTGTTGTTAAAAAGTGAAGGATGGGGGTAACATAAGACTGGACAGTGGATATTAAAAGGGTTTTATTGTAACAAAAAGGTTTTAAAAGCGTGCAAACAGATGACGGTGCATTATTAAAATAATGCTAAACCAACAGAACTCTCTAAAACTCTGAAAAAAAGGTTAACATTACACAGCTAATTATCAACTATAAAAACACCTGGTTAAAACTTATGTTAAAAGCTGAACCGAACAGAAGATGTTTTAAAAAAATCCCGAAGTTGATACAGTTCCAAAACAACCCACTGGCTAAAACACCTGGTAAAAACTTATTTTAAAAAAAAGCTTTACCACAACAAAGGTGTTTAAATACCGATGTCAGTAAAATTGCCACAAAGTTAACCTTAAAACCAAACAGCAAAAAGATCCCACTGGATCATCCAAAACTTCTCACTTAAGAGTTTAAAACTAAACAAGTTAATCAAATCTTTATTTATAAAGCGCCTTCCGCAACCCTGTCAGGAAGCCCAAGGCGCTGAACATGGTACAGTAGAAAGTTAAATATAGTGAATAAATCAGAAAATAAAAGCCATTCAAATTACAGATTACAAATTACAAAAAAAAGTGAAACATTCTAGTACAGGACAAATGTGTAAAACAATGGATTGAGTGAACCAATGAAAACTGTGAAATAAAATCAACATAAAAGAGGGCCAAAATCAAACATGTTCAGGAAACGCCAAGCGGAGGAGGTGGGTTTTTAGGCGACTCTTGAGGACTGGCAGAGATGGGGACAGCCTAACTGAGGGTGGCAGCTCGTTCCAGAGTGACGGTGCTAGGACTGAGAAAGCCCGGTCCCCACGAGTACGACACCTAGACCGAGGGACAGCGAGCAGGCCTTGGTCAGAGGAGCGCAGAGCGCATGATGGGGAATGTTTGTTCGTTCAGGAGCATGGCCAGATAGGGGGAGCACCACCCTGGAAGAAATTATAAACAAAGACGAGGAGTTTGAAGTGTGAGCGATAGCAAACCGGAAGCCAGTGCAGGGAGGCCAGAACCGGACTGATGTTGTCCCATTTCCTGTTCCCAGTCAGGAACCTGGCTGCGCTGTTCTGCACAACCTGTAGGTGATGAAGTGATGACTGACACAACCCTGCATAGACAGAGTTGCAGTAATCAAGCCTAGAAATTACAAATGCATGCAGTACCCGCTCCAGGTGGGCTCTTGACAGCATGGGCTTGATTTTTGCAAGGCGTCTCAGGTGAAAGAAACTGGACCGGATCACAGAGTTGATGTGAGCATCAAGTTTAAAACTCATCCACATGAATCTAAACGAAAGGGGTTGAAACCAAACCAAAAAAACCAGGAGGACAGCGGAACCCCTGCACCACTGCCTCCCAGACTGCTGAAGGCACAGCCTTTTTATACAGGTGTTGGCAATCAAGGAAGATTCAGCTCAGCTGTGCTCCTCAGCAGCCCGGGAGAGAGGAGGAGGAGGGGCGGTGTCAGGCTGTTTCACCAGAGCTGGGTGGTCCTGGCTCCTGCTCTTCCCTGGCCAGACTGGCAACCGTAACAGCTGAGAAGCTCCAATATCTGGGAACCGCTGTTCCTCCAGCCTGGAGAGGTGAGAGATGGTACTATGTTAATTTCACCATTTGTGACATCACAAACGAGGATTCATACTTCTGCTTCATGCTTGCTCAGTTTGAGGATACGCTGTAAAGTCCCTGACACAACAAGTCAGTGACTCAAAGCAATCTGCTGGATTAGATAGAAAAACTTCATCTAATTGGAATAATGAACATAACTCAATGCACTGATAAGTAAATCAGAATGCTTATTTTGTAAAGGTGATATATAAATAAAATGAACTGACTTATGTTAGGTATTCAATTCCTAAATCAAACACTGACAGAAAATAGATGAATGTACATTTTGTAATTTTGGAGTTCAAAGTGCTTATAGAGGCAGTGGAGATCCACATGGCAGCACGAAAGGAAGTAAAAGGTGAGTTTTACACAACATGGTCCCTTTAAGCTCTGTCATCAAGGGCCAGCTTGAAGTAAACTTACAATATTACTAATAACAAGAAAATTCTCTAAGAAATTTTAAAAGGGATCTACCCGCTGGCACAAGGTAGTGGCCCCGTGCCATAGAGGCCAAAGTATGATATCTGGGTGACGTTGGGATAAAAAACCTAAAATCAGGACATGAACTCATCCCACAGCCAGATTTGTCATTTTGAACACCCCTAATGGGGAGAGAATTTTCTCCAGTGAAGAAGAGTAAGTGGCTGCACACACACACATGGGAGTTTTAACCAGCTAGGCAGATTGAGACATGCACACACCCAAAATGTGACATTTATGGATGCTTTTTGCTAATAATTTCACCATGGTAAATCAGATGGCTTATAAATGTAATAGCACACCTCCCACGGCTGATTTTGATGTATAATTTGTGGGGGTGAACGCAGCCGTTAGAACCGCATTAG